GATTACATACACCGTATAAAGCGTTGCGACTCTCGCTGGGTTGGGCACAGGGGTAACTTTTTTACATAGGCGCAGAAGATCAAGAGACATCCTTGCGGTTACCACTAAGCGTCTTACACAGGATTGTCTCAAATCTTTCTGCGGTTTATTTTCTAATTTCCATTGAATGTTTGGGTTCCTTTTTCTTTCTTTTGAAGTTTGTAAGTGGGTGGTGGAGGAAGGAGGCTGGTGAGTGAGCTTGCTCATGGCCGTTTGAGATGGGAAGGTGAAGCTGTGGCATTGAAGTGGAGGAAAGATATGTATGTAGTCATGGACAAGGAATTTATGTAACTTTTGGAGGATGCGTCCCAAGCTTGGGGAGCTGTAGCGACGGATACTTTTGGGGCAGAGGTTTTTATAATTGGAGGTGGATTGATTCACGTGCATATTCATATTTTATAGTAGATGAGGCAGCCCGCAGCATTTGGCATGTTTGTTCATGATTTCACTACATTGACTTGCAGCTCCCGTCCCTATTTTCGATGATTGCTGGCAGGTTAGAGTTGCAAGAATCCCTGATCTGCCGAGTCTTTATTTCTCGAGGTTATGTCAGGTAGATAGGAGGTGCTGACTGTCTAGGTACTGGACACCTTAGATACTAAGGCGGCGACTTGAGTCTGCAACGTTCCTTGTTTATCGGTCAGTCTCGAGTGTTATTTTCGAAGTCATTTCGGCATTGTTCCTGGGTATGAGATTTGGAACTCATATCCCTAAGGTTTGGTTCGGCCGATCGGATCTGACGTATCCATGAGGTAGGTAGACTAGGAGACGCCTCCTGGCTATTTGGTCCAGGGGCTGGGGGGGGGGGGGGCATATAGCCGTTTATTGGAGCAGCCCTCTTTCGGCTTCTCAAAGCGAAGTTGCACGTACATACTCGTACTGTTCAAAATACAACTCATCAACGCCGCTAATATTCGTAGCAGCCAAAGGTAGTCACAAGTATCGCGGGTATCGAAACGCACACCAACTTCTCTGCTGCCGTATTACGGTACCTCTAACTTGCCACATGCTCTCATCTGCATCATCAAGGTGCCCGGGTGACGCTGATGGCCTCCGTACTAGCTGAATGGATGCCCTGCACGAGACAACTCCCATGCCAGAGCCTGCTTTGTGCTCGTCTCAATTACCTAACACGTATGGCGGTCTGCGAATTCTCATTGGAAGAGAAGGCTCTGCTGGGTGGAGCGGCCAATGTCGAGTAGCCATTGTACGTGAGGTACTGTGCTGTACTCTGTTAGTACGCGATACTCGGTAACCCTCTAGGGGCTTGTTTGTTCCGGCAAGCCCGATGCGCCCCCCTAACCAGCCACAAGTCACCCGCCCTATTCTCGTTAACCTTGGCTAACAGTTGGCAGGAGCGGTATTATTAGCCCGCTGCCGTCATAGTTTTTCGCTGCAGGTGACTGCTTGACTGCGACAGCCCGAAATCCCCAATTCAACTTCTCCCTCGAGCAAATTCTGCCGCCTCCCATCTTCACGACTTACTCCGCCGCTCATTTCGCGATTGCTCAACGGATTGGGTCTGATGCATGCTCACACATCCAAATAGACCTCTTTGTTGTTCTTGCTTGAGCTGAGCTGTTCACCATGTGGAGAAATTCACTGCTGAGGGGTGTCCAGGGCACCCGCCTGGCAACGAGGGCAACGAGGCTTACAGCCCTTCGCAAGCCCCTCCCCTTGACGACGAGGCGACTGTACGCCGCGACGACGACGCCCAATGCCACCTACTCGCCCCCCGACCCCAGCGACAACTTCCTGTCGGGAAGCACTGCCAATTATGTCGATGAGATGTACATGCAGTGGAAGCAGGACCCCAAGAGCGTCCACGTCTCATGGCAGGTCTACTTCAAGAACATTGAGAGCGGCGACATGCCCATCTCGCAGGCATTCCAGCCTCCCCCGAACCTGGTTCCCGGCATGACAGGGGGCGTCCCTCGTCTTGCCGGCGGCCTGACCCTTGAGGACGGCTCCGACGTCACCAACCACTTGAAGGTCCAGCTGCTCGTGCGCGCATATCAAGCTCGCGGACACCACAAGGCTGATATCGACCCCCTTGGCATCCGCAACACCTCCGCAGGCTTTGGTAACATCAAGCCCAAGGAGTTGACGCTCGAGCACTATGGCTTCACCGAGAAGGATCTCGACACCGAGTACACTCTTGGACCTGGCATCTTGCCCAGATTCAAGCGCGAGGGCCGTGATAAAATGACCCTCCGCGAGATCATTGCTGCGTGCGAAAAAATCTACTCTGGCTCCTATGGTGTGGAGTTCATCCACATCCCCGACCGCGAGAAGTGTGACTGGCTGCGCGAACGCCTCGAGGTTCCCCAGCCTTTCAAGTACTCCATCGATGAGAAGCGCCGTGTCCTCGATCGATTGATTTGGAGCTCTAGCTTTGAGTCTTTCCTTTCGACCAAATACCCCAACGACAAGCGATTTGGCCTCGAGGGTTGCGAGACGCTGGTCCCCGGTATGAAGGCTTTGATCGACCGCAGTGTCGATTACGGCGTCAAGGACATTGTCATTGGCATGCCTCACCGTGGCAGATTGAACGTTTTGAGCAACGTCGTCCGAAAGCCAAACGAATCCATCTTCAGCGAGTTTGCCGGAACCCTGACTGCTGGAGATGAAGGCTCCGGTGATGTCAAGTACCATTTGGGCATGAACTTCGAGCGACCTACGCCTTCTGGTAAGCGCGTGCAGCTCTCGCTCGTCGCCAACCCCTCCCATTTGGAAGCCGAAGACCCAGTTGTCCTCGGCAAGACCCGTGCCATTCAGCACTACAACAACGATGAGAAAGATCACAAGACTGCCATGAGCGTCCTGTTGCACGGTGATGCCGCTTTTGCTGCGCAGGGTATCGTGTATGAATGTCTTGGATTCCACTCTCTGCCTGCTTTCTCTACCGGCGGTACTGTTCACCTCGTCGTCAACAACCAGATCGGATTTACCACCGATCCTCGATTTGCCCGATCAACCGCCTACTGCACGGACATCGCCAAGGCCATCGACGCCCCCGTTTTCCATGTCAACGCTGACGATGTCGAAGCCGTCAACTTTGTCTGCCAGCTGGCCGCTGATTGGCGAGCTGAGTTCCAGCACGATGTTGTTATTGACCTGATCTGCTACCGCAAGCACGGCCACAACGAGACGGACCAGCCCTCATTTACCCAGCCTCTCATGTACAAGCGCATCCAGGAGAAGGTTCCTCAGATTGATGTCTACGTCAACAAGCTGCTGCAGGAAGGCACTTTCACCAAGGAAGACATCGAAGAGCATAAGCAGTGGGTGTGGGGTATGCTCGAAGAGAGCTTCTCCAAATCCAAAGACTACCAACCTACGTCCAAGGAATGGACTACATCGGCCTGGAACGGCTTCAAATCGCCCAAGGAGCTCGCTACGGAAATCCTACCCCACAACGACACCAGCGTCGATCGCAACACCTTGAACCACATTGGTGAGATCATCGGATCGGCCCCCGAAGGCTTCCAGATCCACCGTAACCTGAAGCGAATTCTGGCCAGCCGAACAAAGTCTGTTGTCGAGGGCAAGAACATTGATTTCCCTACCGCCGAGGCTCTGGCCTTTGGCTCTCTCGTGACTGAGGGTTATCATGTCAGAGTTTCTGGTCAGGATGTCGAGCGTGGCACATTCTCACAGCGCCATGCTGTCTTCCACGACCAAGAAACTGAGGAGACTGAGGAGACTTACACCCCTCTGCAGCACATTAGCAAGGACCAAGGAAAGTTTGTCATCTCCAACTCTTCTCTTAGCGAGTTCGGTGCCCTGGGTTTCGAGTACGGTTACTCGCTGTCGTCGCCCAATGCGCTTGTCATGTGGGAGGCACAGTTTGGTGACTTTGCCAACAATGCCCAGTGTATCATTGACCAGTTCATTGCCTCTGGTGAAGTCAAGTGGATGCAAAGAACTGGCTTGGTCATGTCTCTGCCCCACGGATACGATGGCCAGGGCCCCGAGCACTCCTCCGGCCGCCTGGAGCGCTATCTGCAGCTTTGCAACGAAGACCCCCGTGTCTTCCCATCTGAGGACAAGATTCACCGACAGCACCAAGATTGTAACATGCAGATTGCCTATATGACAACCCCTGCCAACTTGTTCCATGTTTTGCGCCGACAAATGCACCGACAGTTCAGAAAACGTAAGTTTCTCTCCCCTGGGATATGAGTTTACCCATATATCTGGTGTTTTACTCCGTTATAGACTAACACTTCCTCTCAGCCCTCATCATCTTCTTCTCAAAGTCACTGCTCCGCCACCCATTGGCGCGATCAAACATTGAGGACTTCACTGGCCCCAATGCTGGATTCCAATGGATCATTCCCGACCCGGAGCACGAGACGGGTGCCATCAAGGCTCCCGAAGAGATTGACCGAGTCATCCTCTGCACAGGTCAGGTGTGGGCCAGTCTGCACAAGTACCGTGCCGAGAACAAGATTGACAACGTTGCCTTCACCCGCATTGAGCAACTGAACCCCTTCCCTTGGCAGCAGCTGAAGGAGAACCTGGACATGTACCCCAATGCCAAGACCATTGTCTGGGCACAGGAGGAGCCTCTCAACGCGGGAGCCTGGAGCTTCACACAGCCGCGTATCGAGACGCTGTTGAATCAGACTCAACACCACGACCGCAAGCACGTCATGTATGCTGGTCGTAACCCCAGCGCCTCTGTGGCAACTGGCTTGAAGAATGTTCACACCAGGGAGGAGCAGGACTTCTTGCAGATGGCATTCAGTGTTACGCAGGACAAACTCAAGGGCGAGTAAATAGACGTGATGATGTAGTTTATATTAATAAATCTTTAACTGGTCTAGACGTTATAATATCATTGAAGATTTTGAATGCGCTGAATTTCATCAATCCTTTGCTACATTGATGACAGTCGGGGTTGGGGGTGAAAGCTGTACCGGCCAAGTTGGAACGGTAGCATATCAATTCAGTACTCATCCTTTACCCATCAGCTTCTTACCGTCGGACGCATTGATAATGCGGCCATTATAAGGGGCCACGACGGTCCAACGTTGCTCCCTTCTCTTTCTAAGACCCCTTTCACCTCCCCACAGGCCAATGTCATCCAATAGCACCTCGACGACCGTCAGTGCACGCGGTAAAGACGCCTTGCCGGGGCGAGGAGCCCGTGTGCAAAGGAGGTGCACGTCGAGCAGCTGTGTGAAGACGAGGCCGAAGGTTGGCTTATTGGGCTTGTACCCGCCGGCGTGTCCATGTCCCGACGACTCGGAGGCCGGGTTGAAAATAGACCGGAGAGTTGGGTCGACGGAAGGTTTCTGCGTGGTTGGTTGTTCTGGCGGCGGGATGTCGTAGCTGTGAGGCTCTGAAGAATGGGCTGCTGCTGCTGCTGCTGCTGTTGGAGTTGTAGATGACGCGGCGCCGGAGTCGGTGGAGTTGATGAGCAGTATGAGAGGGTTGGAGGGCAGTGTTCTGGAGAGGCGACGCAGGTGAGAGGCGAGCAGGCGGAGGGTTGCATGAGCGACTGAGTTGTCGCGCTGGGTGAAGAAGCTGGCGAGGAGGGAGGAGAAGTGGGTGATGAGGATGATGTCGGGGGTTGTCGATGTTGAATTGTTGTCGTTGTTAGCAGTAGCGGTAGTAGTGTCTTTAGAACCATTTGAATCTTGTTTTGATTGCTCGCCGGAAGTAGTTGCTTCACTCTTTTGCACTTCATGCAGTACCTTGGGCTGAGGCGGTGTCTCCGAGGGCTGCGAAGGAGATAGGGCTTCATCCTCGTCTTGGCTGTCCTGGATCTCAGCAACAACAGATGGACCCTGCGGTTCATTCTCCAAGTCTCTAGCAGCAGCATCGGTCTTAGACTGTGTCTTGGCCGTCCTCTCCTCCGTTGGCTGTGCGTCATCCCCTTCCGGCTTGTGCAGAACATGCTCCTCGGTTCCGGGGGCAACTGCATTGTCCAAGTCCGCCAGCACCTCGCACAGTCCATCCATGTCGAAGACGCGCGAAAGCAAGATTCTGTCCAGACACTCTCTCCCCTGGGCCGCGATCTCGCCAGGAGCCGCGATGCCTCTTGCCTTGAGCTCAGCCGTGATGCTGTTCTTGAGTAAGACGACAACGGTGCTGGGAGGCTTGGGCGTCACAATCTGGACTTTTTGAACCGCCTTGTCTAGGAGAGAGCACACCAGCACTTGTAGCCCTAGCTGCCATGACACGAATCAGTATCTGGTAGAGAAGTAGAAATATGAGAAATGAACAAGAGTGAACCAAGGACTTCCTCTCCACAGGTTCACACACAAAAGGCACGGCCAACTCACCGTCACACCTACTCCATCCTCGTCCTCGGCGCTTATCCCGACCACGCTCCCACGCTCAAATCCCCCAAGGAGAACATATGAATCCAGATCCTCGCATCCGCTTGGACATGGGCCCAAGCTTCGCACAAAGTCCCGGCGCCGCTTCTCGACGCTCGCAAGGGCTGAAGCTGAGACGAGCCTTGGCTGAGAAGCACCCGGAGCCTGTGAGTTGCGAGCTGGTAAAGGGAGAGTTTGATGATGCAGTGCTGCCATTCTGCTAGATAATATTGAATAGTCTCCAGTCTAGACTTCGATTTGCGTGTGTTTGAGCTTCTCAGATGACCAGTTGAGGTGGTGAGCTAGCTCTCCGTGTGAATGACTGGCGCCATTAGCACCATAAGCTTAGGTAGACGCAGAATGGTGATATAATTGAAGCAATCAGCTCATGATATCTTCATTACCATTTTCGTACTTGTCATAATTAGCTGTGTGGCTGTAGATTGCTAAGATGGGATGATTTGCTGCACAGGTGTGTGATGTGATGGTGGAGAAGATGAAAGTACGTGAGAGCGGACATGGCAGAAAGAAGTCTGTTGTAGTAAGTATGCCGACACACAACAACAATCGAGTATGCCACCACACCTGACCGAAGAGATGGCGCATTATAAAATCACTTCGCATCGTGATGAGTCAAAATAATCTTTTTCTTCGTAGCAATCTACGTCTTCTAATAAGGAAAACCAAGCCCAAATCCTGGCACCCAGCGCCAGGCCTCTCCAATCCCTTCCTCCATTTTTTTCTTCGTTTTGTCCGTGGCAGAGGAGGGATTCAGATGCCACCTGATTCTGTCATGTATCGCAAGGAGAAAATTGAAGAAAAAAAGGAGAATCGACATCGCCCAGAAAAAAAAACAATTCCATATATTAAGTACACAGCCCGCTGAGATAAGAAAAAAAAACGAACAAGTCTTCATATGCGGGCCTGACGAATAACCAAGGCTCAACTCTTAAATGGACAGGCACCTTTCTGCCCGAACGTTACTCCTCTAGAGAGAGCGCCCCTTTGTCGCTCTCTCATCATCATGCGGATATCATATTTATGGACCATGGAACTGAACATTCGTATCGTCCAGCTACTCTAATACTCACGCCCCTACCAACTGCAATACACAGCCTGCTTCAGGTGGCCATTCCTCCGGCCTCACCACCCCTGTTTGGTCGCCTTCCTCCCTTCAAACTCTTCATGCGACCCAGGAGGCCCGATGGCTTAGCAGGGGCCTCATTGGACGGGGACGGCAATTCGTCTGCGCTCGTTCGTCGTTCCAAGGCACTTCCTGAGCCTCGTCGTGGCATGGGAGGCGGCGAAAGTCTGCCTTCCCGTTCGCGTTCGCGTTCGCGCTCGCGCGGGGGAGGTCTGGGGACGCTGATGCGCTCTTCGCCAAAATCGTCCGAGTCGTAGCGGCCATGGCCAGGCATGGGCCTGTTGCTATAGTCGGGTCGCACCCTCTGCTTGATTCTCTGAGCTACAGACTTCTTCCGCTGCAAGCCGCCTTCGGCCAATTCCTGAGCATGCTCTACTTGTCGGCGAACAATGGCCGATCGCGCAGCGGGCGTTCCCTCGAGGAAAGTTGAAGTGCCCAAACCTTGGCTTTCATCGCCGTGTACCAAGCTTGCGCGGGCCTGGGGATCAAAAATCATGGGTTCTCGGGGGGCCTTGCCCTTCCCGCTGGCGGCAAAGTCCTGGAATGCCTCATCACCACCCTGACCCATAAAGGACGAGTGATCGGCCGACGCATTGAGGGGGCCGGAGCCGCCAAGTGTGTTATTGAGGGAGCCCTCGGGGAATGCTTGCATCGGAGACAGCTTTTTGCTGTTCTGGCGGTTCCGATGAGGGTTCAGAGCATCAAAAGGTCCATCATGGTGGAACACTGTGATGATAGGTTAGAATACAGCACAGCCACGAGAGCAATAGTCAAGGGGTCAAGGGGGTTAGGGAAGAGGGTATACGAACAGCCTGTCCCGTAGATGCTGGTGGCGTCCAGCTGATCAATAATGTCCATCTTACGGCTGGGACGTGTCGATTTGCTCTTGCTATGCTGGCGGCGTCTGGCCTCAATGATCCTCTTTTCTTCGGCTGTAAGGGTCTTGGAATCAAAGTCCATGACGGATGAGTCGGAGTTGCGCCTTGGGCGTCGCTGCACCGGCTTACGAGGCGGCGAATCATCCAAAAGGCTGGGGCGGGTTGTCGGCTTGGGTGCTGGCGCCTTTGCTCCTGGCGGAGGCGGCTTGCGGGCTCTCAGGGCCTCTTCCTGGGAGTGAGAAGGGCGGTGCTTGTCAGCAGCTCGTCCGGATGCCGTGCTCTCGCTTTCACGGCGAGGAGGTACGGGCCGGTCTGTTGGGCGCTTCTGCAGCAGGGTTGAATCAACGGGCTGCTTGACCGAAAACGCAGGAGAGTCGTCAAGCGTCAGAGATCCCTATAATTAAAAAGCAAACGGGCAAAGGTCAGCGCTTGGTCTGCTAGATACTCTCTGAACTTATTTCCCTCTCATGTCTGGGGGTCACCGGCGGGCCATAAAGGCTACGGGCAAACGCACAAAGATCTCCTCAGCAGTGAGGGACTGAGTTTTGGCGGTGGCAGCCACATCGGCGGGCCGTGGAGCGAGCGGCTGGTCCAGGAACGGGTTCCGCGACAGAGGGCGCGAGGACGGCATCGGGTCGTCGAAGGGGGATGTAGGCGTCGTGGGAAAGGAAGAGTTGAGGTGACTTGGAGAGGCAGCGCGAAAGTTGCGGAACGGATTGTTGGAGGCCAGGCTGTCGGCATTATTATCAATGCTGCCGCCATTGAAGGACAGGCTGGGCGCCTGGCCGGCGGGTTGCTGCCCTATAGGAGTCATCAGCCAAGAGTCGACGGAGAAGTGCAGGCCAGATAGGCGAGCGATGGGCAAACATGAAACAAGACGGCATCCCGTCTCGTCTACATGACACAGGCAGGAGGGTCGAATGACGAGATGCTCTGGCTTGGCTGCTTGGATCTTGGATGCGCCGCCCAGGTCCGCTTTGGCCCCCCTTGATCTGTTTCGACCCGATGATGAGAGGCTTCATGCAGACGGCTGCTGCCCCCTTTGCGCGTCTTTGCCGCTGGCCACTTTGGTCTTTGCAGCGCGGTCGGCAACGCGGCACCGGGGCGAGATCGAACGACAGCCAAACAAGATGAAGTCCCCCCCCATGGAAATCAAACGGGATTCTCGACGTCACGACAAGGCAAATCAGAATCAGGGCTGGGGATTGGAGGGCGCTTACCGGCGAAGTAAGAGCTGTTGGCGGCCATGATGGCTATCAATTGACAGTGTCCAAAGGGGTCTTGAGCCGGTTGACTCGCGACACAGGGGAATATGGCAGGTTAAATTCCTTGGTGCAAGGCTGGGGCCTGGCGTCACTCCAAGCCGAGCAAAGCAGCGGCAGCAGCAGCAGCAGCAGCTAATAGCATCTACCCAATAGCGGTATTATGGCCTGTAACGAGTAATTCGACCAGGCGCGAGTGCGGCGGATTTGATTTGATGGAGAGGTGAGGGAGCGAGCGAGAGTGCGCAAATGCAAATGCAAATCACTGGAGGGGGGGGACGAGGATGGATCTGTAGGTTCAGGCTTGGTTGGCGGGCAACTGTCGAAACGCTCTGCTCGAGTGCAGCAACAGTGCACACTGGCTGATTGCTAGTCGAGGTTAGCAGGTGGTTCCCCCCGGAGTTGTTCAGTAACGAGTATGTAGGAGAAATGATGAGCTGCACAGTCCCGCGCTCTGCAGCCAGGCCAACTCCACACTGTGCCAATACCACGCGAACGTACTCGCAAGTGTTGAGTCGCTCCAGAGTCCAGATCCAGAAAAGGGGGGTCTCGTAGCCCCGTTGTGTTTGTGCTGCGAATGGGCGATCAACACACACCAGAACGCAAGCGGCCAGACAAGATGCGGCGACTAGACGAGGGGCTTTTTGCACGGATGCGGAAATGCCTGCACTGCATCATAGAGTCCAAATGGTAAAAGAACCTACATAATCAAGCGTATTCTGCACAGTGCCAAAAGCTACCCCGGCTACTACCCAGGACCCCCGTTCCATCATTATCACTGCTCCGTACCTCCATCACAAAAGCAGAGAGATCAATTTGATGCTAGTGGTAGTAGTAATCTAATACCTACTACTACTACTACATACCGCGATGATCAAAGCGTTCGGCATGTTCCCCCTTTTACTCGAGATTATCGCCTCGGAAGTGGTGGACCCTGGGATTGTTGACCCCCGAACAAGGCCCAAAGCAGCAAGGACTCAGTGCCGGAGCTGTGCCAAAGTTCAATTGAAGTTGACTTGCAGACGGCGGGCTAAAGCTCAAGAGTGCTAGAGCGTCTTTCCGCATGAGGCAGCTGGCCGCTATTGATGCATCGGTTCGTGCAAGTTTGGAGATTGATTCCCAGTGGAGGCCTTGGACCCTGACTTTGGCAGTACCCGTACAAGCATGAAATCAAAATGCCTTTACAGGAGTATTCGAACTCACTAGGTACTAATACGGTACGGGTACCATGTAATACAAGGAGAGGATGCCAACCCCTAGGCTAGACAATGAGATGCAAATGAGATTCAATGAGATTAGATGGGTAGCCAAAGAAATGCCAGATGCCGCCCAGGAATGCTTCAAGGCGAAACCGGGAGCCACAAAGAAACAAGGGCGGCAAAAGGGCAAAGGCGGCCCCGTAAGTACCTGGTACGAGCTTGGAGCTTCTCATCCAGGCACAGGCACAGGCACAGGCAAGGCACAGGCACGCGCAGTGGAGGGAACATGACGGCGACCTGAAACAAGAGCGTATCACGCTGGCACTTGCAGGTACCCCGTACTTTTGCGCCTGAGGACAAAGAGCGTGCATGACTGACCCAGTGATGAATTGCCGTGATTCCTGTCCACTTGATGCTGTACTCGTGACTTGCAACTTGGTGTTCAATGCCCTCCCAGTGCGAATTTCGAAACTCCAGCAGCTCTTCAATCTCATACCGTATTTGGGAGTTGAGACTGTACAAGTAGCTTCAAGTCATTCTGTTGCTAGACAACCCCATTGATGAGTTTCTAGTTGCTCCGAGGTGCAGCAGCGCCTTGCCGATTTAGCCACATTACTCTTAAATCAATAGCCGCCTTTAATCACCAGACACGCGATAGAGCAACCGATATAGCCTCAATGCTTCGTACTCGTACCGTACATACCTACGCATTGCTCTCAGTGATTCGAGTAATTTCAAGAGAACAAAGAACTGTCCCGTCGCCAATGTCCAAGCAACCAACCCAATCAACTGCTCGTATGAGTACCTCCTCAACCACCCCCCAGCCAATCATGCAACCCCCCTCCAAACAAATTGGCCTTTGACCGAAATCAAAGCATCGCCTCGCTCTGCCTTCCAATCCCACAATCTCAATTCTCATCAACGAAGGGGGAAATGAGAGATCAATGCCCTTCCCCCCCCCCCCCCCCGTGATCCCGCTTTGTTTTGTTTTATTTTCTCCTTTGGTAAAGGGAAATGAATGAAAAAAAATGCAATTCCGCCCAAATTTTTTTGCTGCCTCTTTTTGCTTTTGCGTTGCCACTGTAGAAACAAAGCAGGGGGTATGTGTGTTCGCCCGCCGCTAGATCCCATGTTTAATGACGACGATCCTTGCTCCTGAGAGAGGGGATGCCAGACGCTTAATTGTCGGCATGAGATGCCGTAAATAGCCCATTGGAAAAACTCTGCAAGAAATGGCTGATAAGAGAGACAGGCCCTGAAACAAGTTGGGCGTTGCCATGAGGAGGCGAGTGGCCTCATGCCATACCGCACGGATCAAGGCCCGTACGAGGACAACTTCACGCATGTGGCGAGCAGTTTCAGCATTCTTGGCCCATGGATCCAAGATTACACGTAAATAGCACTGCTAGGCTATATTCCCCGTAGACCCTGCTCCGTATCGTGTCCAAGTCGCCCCATTGCCAATTACGACCAGACCGAACCCGGAATCCCCAATATCGACCTTCCGCCTAGTATTCGCGACTGGCATTAACTCGCATTAGGGCCCCAACAACTGCATGTCTTCCTCCAGCTTTGTTTACATGGATTTTCTAATTAGAGGGTACCAAGTACATACGTGGAGGCCATTACTTGGATAGAATGAATCGCAAACGCCTTCCATCAATAACATGGAGGCAAATAGAAAGAAAGCATAGAAAGATGTAACCTAAAGCCGCAAATCGACACGTGGATTCAGCCTGCACTCGATGAATATGTGACGGCTATTCCATTTTCTGCACGATTGGTCGGAGAAACCATATGTAAAACATCCTCCCAACACATTGTTGGACTACACGAATATGCGTAAGAGAGTTGTATACGACGAAATATTGATTGATATGTATTTATCTCATGTCTAGGCAAAATCCCGCGTCAGACCATGCATGTCCATATTGTTCAACACACGCATGGAAAGGCAGAGAGAAAACAATGGTCCAGTCAAGTCAAAACCAATTGCATGCCTCTTACTCTATCCTCTTCTGTCAATGTATGTACACGTGCTTCCCCATCTTATCCCGACTGATAGTGTAAAGAGAGAAAAAACAGGCATGAGAGATGAAGAAAGAAAAAAGAAAAGTAAAGAAAAAGTAGGAGGGTTTCGACTCCGATACCTTCATTTCCCACCAAAGAGATCAAATTACCTGACATAAATTGTGACATTCATCTCCATCCCCTTCCAGCTGTCCGATTACCCTTCAAATTCTACGACTCCCGGCCCCCCTGTAGTCGACGAGCTGTTTGCTCGGCGCCGTCCAGCTGCCGTGTCAACCTCTAATAAGTTGTGATCGTGTCCTGGTTCTTTCGTAGCCACCGCTGACCCGGCTTCCGCGTCTGCTCCATCTAATAGATCACGGTCTGTGCTCATGACTGATCGGCGTTCAACGTCTGTGCTGGCGCCTCCTGTTCCCCTCCTTACACCAATCGCAACCCCGACGTCATCATCGTCCTCCTCATCCTCCTCCGTCCGCTGGCTGGGTAGGGCATTCTTTTCAAGCTCCCGTTGGGCCTCTTCCATCCGCCTTCGCACCTCGCTGGCCACGCGCATTCCGTCGGTAACAATATTATCCAAAACACCGCGCAGGCCACGGCCGCCTCCAATGGGCCCAGCTTGGTTCTGCGATTGTGATCGTGTATTAAAGCCCAGGTTGGAGAATGTCGTAAGCGAAGGGGCGTACGAGAAGCTACTAGGAGTTTGAAGACCCTCGATGATGTGGAGCGATGCTGGGAAAGAGCACTCAAAGAACTGTTCGAGAAGCTCGTCGGCCAGCACAACCATTCGGAAAGTCGGCAAAGTGATGTGAAGGGGATGAGCTGGGTCGAGCGCCGCGTTAGCCGCTTCCGCCTTGGCCTTTGATACACGCCGACGAGATTCGTTGTCCACGCCGTCGTTCTGGTCATTCGGACTCAATAAATCGACGGGCTTCTTGGCTTTCGTGGGGGTGGCCGTCGGTGAATCAAGCGCCAAGAGATCTTCCTCCTCTTCTTCGCTGTCATCATCGTCCCCAATGGCAAAAGCGTTCGGATCAACCATTTCGTCGTTTGACCCGAATGCGTCGAAGCCGGTGCTGTCTTGGTTCTTCGGGTGATCAGGGTCGGCGTACTCAAAACATCGCCTGATGAACGCACTGACACTGCCCAAAAACCGCTCCGCATTGGATATCTCGGGAGGTAGACTGCTCTGCGAGTCGCTGGCGCTCATACCGTCGCCGTTGAGTCCGACGGTTGAAGCTCCAGGGGTCAACGTTCCCTCCAGGCCGCGACGAGACAAGAAGAGCAGGGCTTCGGATATACGCAAGATGCCCTCTCGATCTACCCTGCCATCGCTGTCGTCATCATACAGCTCGAAGAAGTACGTGATTGTGCCCATGATATCCTTTTTGCCTTTAATTCTGGCCAGACCGGTTACCACATTTTGGAGGGTCAAGGCTGATGTGCCGTCGACGTCCCACTTGTTGAAGATGCGTCGCAAAAATTCGTGCTCTGCAGGCTCGGGTCCGTTTCCCCACGGTGACATTGCATCGGGCGTCCTCCTGGTGTTGTAGAGCTTGGCCTCGTTCGCCTGGGAGTCTGAGATGGCCCATTTCGACATGCCGGCCAAGAACTCGCGGAAGGCATCGTAGTCCATCAGGCTAGTGCTTGGGCCAAGTCCGACGCGGCCCTTTTCGACTTCGTTGGGGGCAGCCGAAGCGAAGGCATCAGAGCCTCGTAGTCTGCGGCTCTTCGCCTGGCGCTGCAGCTCTTCCTGAATCATTCGATCTCGTTGCTGTCGCTCGTAGAGGACATTATAAAATCGATCGTACAAGGAGCCCAGCTCTTCGGGGCTCAGTAACTTGCTGTCAGGCCCCAGGTTGCGAATGGCCGTTCTCTTGGCGAAGCTCTCGATGTTGCTCAGAACGGCATCCTTATTCTTGAGCCGAAGCTCTGTGATGCTGCTATGAGTGACTCCGGCAAACTCCTTGAAAGCCACAACCATGAGCTCCTGAAACCTCGTCACCGCCCTCAGTTTGGGGTTTTCAGATTTTGGGTGTGCGGATTCGTCGAGTCTGGCAAAATATGATTTGAGGACAGATATGAAAGCACCATCATCGGCGGCATCCAGCAACTCTTCGCCATTTATGCGAAGGATCGCAAGACCGACCTGGAACAGTACCTTGGGGCCCTCGACAAAAAAGACGTCCAGCACACGGAAAGCAAACACCAGGGGCATTGAATTGATATACAGAGAGAGGAACCAAGGCAGTGATACGACGGACAGCTGAACATCGCTCTTAACAAGATGCTCCCAGAGAATGGGCATGGTCTTCTCAACAAGAGACTCAAAAACTTTTTGATCCAAGAGAGTGCCGTACATGGTGGTGGAATAGTAGCCAGGGACCAGACGATCACACAGGGCGGAGAGAAGGAAGAAGGCCTGCGGCTCAGACATGTAAATGAGCAGCGCCGCCACGACAATATTCATAGCCTGACAGTAGCCCACATCTGGATTGACCCAACTGTAGGCCGTGAGAACGCGGCGGAGCCTGCCAATGCCCTCTTCGCTCTGAAAGCCGGGGTATTCGGGTAAACTGCGATTGAGATCCTTTTCAATCTCATCAATGGCAAGCGATTCCTGGCCTTGAAACTTGGCCAGAGTATCGCTGTATAACGTTGGGTTTTCCAGCCGGAGATATAAAGAACCAGAGGTTACCTCCCATATCTCGCCTCGTAGGCGGTTAGGGAGACCAACGCGGATGAGCTTGTGAAACGTGGGCTGGCGGATCAGCATCATGTTTCGACCGTTGTCGCGAAGATACTCGGCCCAGAGCCTCATCTTGGCCCTGTCACGGAGCTTCTTTGGGTCTCCAGGGTACCGGAAGGCCATGCCCAAGCCTGCATCGGGCGGTGACACGCTCGCCCTGTCGTCGGTCCGCAAGAGATGCTCAGAGTAGCATTCGGCCACTACCTTGCGCAGCTTGCCCACGTTGCCCACTCCGGCTCTTAGGCCTCGTTTCAGGCCATCGCAGAACCTCTCACAAGCTTGCCGGGTGCCCGCTAGGTGGATCGTGATTCGTTGTTCTCGAACATCCTTGTTGCCGTTGTTGCCATCCTTTGGTTTTGCGACGTCTGCCAATAAGCCATTCCAGGTAGTGATTGCGAGAGCAAACTGTAGGCATGTGCTGGTCAGCCGTAGAGCTTTTCTGGGGTAGACTTTGAAAGGGGGGAGACGATGCTATTATCCAATCGATTGCACATACCTGAAAGTTTTGGCTATTTAGCCTCTCCACTCGCCTGACGGCGCAAAGGGGGAATGTGAAGCCGCTTCCACTTGGGCCACTGCCATTGGTTTGTCCGGTAAAGGCAGAAGACGTCGACGTGCTCGCCGACTGCGTAAAGCTCGTGGGCGTCGTCGAGAAGCAAAGATAGGCTTCCGAAAGGTGTAGCTTTCCAGCGTAGTGCCAACCCCTGTCGTGGTCCGGATCGCCGCGTGTAGTGTTTGAGGGCGGAATGGTCAACTCGGCATTGATTTCATATAGGGGCGTCTGGGAAGTTGGGAGGCGGAACTGGCTCTGGAAGAGGGAGGCTTTGGAGGGATTGCGATCCGAGTTGGAGAGGTTCAGTCCCTGGGTGGGATCGATGAGCTGCTGGGCCCTCTGGACGATGTTGGACAGGTTGGAAAACATGGTGCCGAGGACGTTCAAGGACGCATGTCGGTGTTATGAGAGAGGCGATGGCACCAGCCCACGCGACCGCAGAGAGACTGCCGGCCGTCGGATGGCTGAATGAGCCGCTGGGTTGCTCCGTTTGCTAGCGTCGGGCTGCCGGGAATTGGGCCGTTGCGAGAGGGGGGAGCAGGGCAGGATGCTGCGACAGAGCCCGGAGACGTAGCAGAGGGCGGCAGAAAGCTGACAGGGCGAGCAAGATGGTGGCGATGCGCGAGAGCTGGGGATGATGCCGGCGATGGGAGCTTCGAGGGGGGATTGTGGTGGTGAGGGCAGTTCGGTCGGGAGTCCAGTGACAGCAGCGGTCCAGGCTGCAGCTGTCTGCTGCTAGCGGCCGTTGGCGGGGCTCGACGGAACCTTGAACCCTTCAAGTGCTGTGCTGAGGCATTCAGCATTCAGCCCGGTCCCCCCTTCGCCAACCAGCGAGTCTGCCTTAGCTGCAGGGCTGCAGTTCCACGGCCAACCACTGCACTGCATTCCCCGGGCGGCACTGGTGGACGCTGTAGCACCTTGGAGTGCCTGGAATGCACTAGCAGGTCCGCTGATCCCGCGCAACAACAGGGGGCAGAACGTGCCCATCTCGGCACCTGGCGCTGCTCGTACTCTAAAATTCAATTCCGCTGTGCAGCGTCGAGAGACGTCAGCAAAGAAGGGGCCAGGCCAGGCCAGGCCAGGCCAGGGGGGGGGGATTTGGTGAGATCTAACGCTGCCTCGAACTCTCCTACTTAGGTAGGTGGTTGGCAAGACTTGTGCGAGTAATGCTGTCCATGCTGTGCTGTTGTCCATGTTTATTTTTGCTTTTCCTTGTTCATTCTCGTACGTGTGTGAGAAGCTGTTTTAAGTTGATGCTTGGTAACAACCTACCTGAAGCCAAATCGTCATTGAATCCCCTGTCCTCGGCGCCGGGTTCAGGGTCCAGGTCCTATGTACAGCCAATGTTGCACTGTCAGAGATGGAGAAGCAACCTGGAATCCATTTATTGAGTCATCAGCACGATCGAATACGACTTGACGTCAATCACATCGTGCCTGTACCTAGCAGTGACCTTTTCTACGTCTCGACTGATATCGACACACTCTGCCATCCATCATCGGCCGCTGAAGCCGTGAGCACTTGGCGATTGACAAGCCGCATCTCCATAAAACGGCTGCCGTGTCGTCTTTCATTGGCTCTGGGCCAACTGCACCTGAAGAGGGCACGGTAGCATCACTAATCTCGTGTCCCTGTCAAATCAAATGCGGTTTGATTGATGACTTACATATTTGGCGGATTGCATGCATGCGCCCAACCCGAGGATGGGACGTCGTGACGGCAGCTGGTCCGGTGCCAACGGATCGGATGCGATGGATGCCTTCCACTTGACTCTACTTGAGGCTGCCAAGGTATTGAATTGACTGAGGCGATGAGAAAACCCTCACTCAATGTTCTAAGGTAGTTCCAGGTATTGACTCGTATTATCAACGTGTAACCCACCAATGTGACAGGGCCTATCAATGTGTTTCCGACACTACGGAGCATTCCCAACACGAAGCTCTATTAAGTACATGTACCTGACCAATACAGCATGAGTCTCCTGTATTCAATAAATGTTTGCTACACCCAGAGTACCAAGGACGCTGCCTCTCTCGAATCGACATGTTCCATCGTTCCAACATTCTCACAACAAGAAAAACAAACACAAACAGCCGGTCCACCGCCAGCATCAATTTTTAAATTTTCTTCTTCTTTTTGCCCTCTCGCGATGCTAGCCGGTAGCGCAGACGTAGCGTGCCCCTTGGTGTATCGACACCGGCTGCTAGGGCTCCTCTAGCCTGTGGCTTGTTGCGTCATAACCGCCCCTCGCCGAATCCCCACGATGAAATGGTTGCTGAGCTGCTTGCACTAGTTTTAGTAGATATTCATCAGCCTCAGCCTCTGCCATCTTTTTCTGCTTCGGCTTCAGTTTCCGCCTCATTGTTTTTTCCGCCTCTTTTCGTTTCACCTCGTGCTCACCCTACGATAAACCCAAACGTCCAGAGGCTTCGGTGCAGAACTAGACACACAGGGCAAAGCGAAGCCAACGACGTGCTCTTGTTTCAAGCCCCGGCTATAGAAAGGAAACTGAAGCAAACTGGGACAAAAGAGCTCTGAAAAGAGAGAGAGAGAGAGAGAAAGATATCCGTCAGTCAGCGCCAAGTCCAACGGGCCAACCAGTCCTATCGATCCTACCCACCATCCTCCGGATTCCTTTCGCCAGCTCCTCCGCTGCCTCTCCCGCCATGCTTCGATTGATGCTGTAGCCCGACATCTACCTCCGATCCTTGCGCTTTTTCCTTTGTGTCGCCTTCCACAAGTCGCATCCCATCTTTCGCATGCGCAAATCTCTCCCTCGCCCTTCGTCTCTCCGTCTCTTGCCCTCTCGTTCGTTCACGAGGCCATGGACCTCCCCTGAACCTCATCCGCCAACCAAACTCACCAACCAATTCATCGCCAGAAGCACGCTTACGGCCGGCCTCGTAACCGTTCTGCAAGTTCAAGGCCTCGCGGATGGCGGCCACGGTTGCTGAGACGCAGCCGGCGACGACTGCGCTATCGGCTGGCATGGCATCGCCTCATCAACGCCATGCCGGCAGCGCTCCCTCTACCGATTCCGCACCCCATCCTCTACCACCTACTCGCAGCTTCAAGCTGTCTGATTTCAAGCGGGTGCGGACTCTGGGCACGGGTTCGTGTTACACCTTCTTCAATCCACCATTGTGCTTATCCAGCAGCAAGGCTTGAATCGCGATAACCAGGTTTTACTAAATAATACATAATTTCTTTCACATAGGCACGTTTGCTCGAGTATGTCTGGTCCGCCCTGCCAGCGCCACCCAACCCCTGGAGGAGGAAAAGAACCCTGAAGTATACGCTCTCAAGATTCTCAAGAAGACGGAGGTGATCAAGCTGAAGCAAATCGACCACGTGCGTAATGAGCGAGCCATACTAGCAGACGTGGCAGGCTATCCCTTCATCACCAATCTACTAGGCTCATTTTCCGACAACGAGTCATTATACATGCTCCTCGACTACGTTCCCGGAGGCGAGCTCTTCAGCTATCTACGGAAGTACCGCCGGTTTGACGAGCAAGTTGCGCGCTTCTACGCCGCCGAGATTGTCCTTGTATTGGAGTTTTTACACGAGCGGCAGGGTGGAGTGGCTTATCGAGACCTCAAGCCGGAAAACCTCTTACTGGACCAGGAAGGACACATCAAACTCGTCGACTTTGGGTTCGCGAAACGGCTGGGCTACAAAGACGACAGGCCTGTCGAGACTTACACGCTTTGCGGTACGCCCGAGTATCTTGCGCCGGAGGTCATTCATAACAAGGGCCACACGACAGCGGTGGACTGGTGGGCGCTGGGCATTCTAATATACGAGTTCCTCACGGGCTACCCTCCCTTCTGGCATCAGAATCCTATTGAGATTTACAAGCAGTAAGTTTTCGGATGTCTACAGTTCTTACGAGCTCCCCCTTTTCTTCCTCGGTATAATCGCTTACCTCGTGGGTACCAAGAATCGTTGAGAAGCCCGTTATATTCCCGCAAGAGCCAACCATATCGGACGAGGCCCAAGACATCATCAAGTCCTTCTGCACAATCGACCGCTCCAGGCGCCTCGGCAACATCAGCGGCGGCGCCGGCTGCGTCAAGGCCCACCCCTTCTTCCGCGGAGTCAACTGGGACGATATGCTCAGCCGTCGGCACCGCGGCCCGATTATCCCTCCCCTTCGATATCCCGGAGACGATCAGTGTTTCGACCAGTACCCCGAGGAAGACGGGACGCGCATCCCCTACACCGCCGACATGGCCAATAGATACGACCGCTACTTTGAAGATTTTTGAAAAAAAAAAAAAAAACACAAATTACTACTTACCCGCCATAAGCTTGCATAATCTTGTTTCTTGTTTATTCCTTTTTGGCTCTTGTGTTTTCCGAAGGCGCTGGTTCTACGTTTACTTGGCACAGAGAGTGGGTGGGTGTAATAGGTTATTACTGCTGCTTTTTTTTTTCCCTTTGTATGATGTGTCACCCTTTCGCCGGTAAATGATTTGCGTTATACGTACGCTTCTACGTGGTACCTGCCTTTTTCAATGTTATTATTCCCAATGTTATTGCCATAATTGTTTTTGGGGTCTCGGCGCATACTCCCGTTTAGGAGAGGACCTTTTGAAAGAGACAAGAGAGAGTCGATGTTTGCTTGGGAGACGTGAGCGTTTGACGACGTTTTTTCACAAATACATGGTTATTTAATGAAATATGAAAAAGAGTTTTTAAAAAGAACAAAAAAAAAGACCGAAAGAGGAGACAACCCTCCTAGGAATAGGAACTAAGTCAGCCTGTGTTGTATAGTCTCACAGCATACTATAGGGGGGAGGAATACTACTAATATGCGTCTTAGGCGTGACGAAACGACATCTTGATCATAAAAACCGCGTGTATGTATATATTACCAAGTTATCTATCTACCTTGGCCGAATACCCGGCCGATAATGATGAATCGTTGTGCAGAGCGAACTGCAGCAAGCACTTCTAACGCATGCTCCAACCCAGTCCTCAACCGCCATAATAACATTACAAAGACAAACCAGATGAAAGAAACACACAACGCCAGCCCCGCCCCCAGCCTTCCAACTGCACTTCCGTGTTGAAACAACTCCCCTGTCTAGTATGCTCCGGTACCAAAAGATGCAAAGCCCAAAACCAATTAGACACACAGATAGATCCCCTTCCTCCAAAAGCCACACGGCCCTTCTTTACATGTATGCAGAACGGTATAGCCAGTATCCGCCCGCGCCTGTGGCCAGTAGCGAGCCCAGAATGTACGCCCCTTGCCTCGTGCTCCAGAGAAACATGGTCCACCCGGCCGCGATCTCGCGCCGCCGCGCAGCCACTCTGCGCTCCCAAGCCTCCGGATCGATCTCCACAGGTAGCCTCACACGCGGATCAACGCCGCTGCCCCCGGGCGAAGCGGACCCGGAAGCAACTTCACGGACTACGGGCGAGGGAGCGAGTTCGTCGGGCGAGATGAGTGGCACGTCGACACGGAGGAAGACGGGGCGGTGGTCGCTGGTCCGGATGACCGGCAGCGTATCGTAGGCCCGGACTTTCATCTTCGAGCCGATCCATGACGGGAGCTCAAGATACAGGATGCGGTCTGTCCAGGCGGGGTACCGGTGCGAGGCAAACTCCCACTTGACCTCATCGACGGAGCTGCCGGCGGTGCCGGGAGGAGGAGTCTTGGAGTCCACGACATACTTGTAAGTCGGCGGGAAGGCCACAGGTTGCTCTGACATGCCATGAAGCGTGCGGCCGGCCAACCGTTCGCGAGTGAGCTGATCGAGATGCAAAAAGTTGGTGTAGTAGTTTTCCGATCCGGGATCCAGATTCGGGAACGCAGAGTAGGGCGTCGGAGACGTGGTGGAAATGCGATAGTTGAGATCTCCGGCAACGAACAGGTGAGACGACGGCTTGAAGACGGAAAGGTTGTGGAACTGCTGCTGCAGCCGGAGGTCCTGCTCGTGGTGCTCCTCACGCAGCAAGCGGGCCTGCTCCGAAGCGTCGCTCTCCTCGGATGACAAGCTCTGGCTCCTCGACTCGGCGTCCCGCCTCATCTTGCTCAGCACCTCTTCCGGATTCTCAAACGTCAACCCTCGCATGATGGCGCCCCAGTTGGCGTTGCGCCGCGGCAGATTCCACTCCATGGCCGCCAGATGCGTCGCCACAAACGTCAGCTCTGTTGACTCTCCGTCGACCTCGTACAGCGCCCTCAGGCCGACCGCCCCCTTGTTGCCCATCTCGGCAGCACCGAATCCCACCTCGGCCTCCTGGATGTCCTTGAGCCGGTCTGGATCTCTGGCAAACATCATAATGGCCGTGTACCCCACGTTGAGGCTTCTAATAAGTGTGTAGTGGCTTCTCCCACGCTGTGACTGTGACTGTGACAGAGACTGTGATGTAGGAGCGGAAGTAGCAGCAGCTTCTGAGGTGCCGTTGCTCTCTCCATTATGCGAATGCAGTGAAGCCGCGAGGTTGATTGCCTCTTCAAACCGCTCCACGTACGGCTTCAGGAAGTAGTCCCCCCCAATGAAGGCATAGCTCAGGGGGGCAATCTCTTGCAGCGACCTTTCGAAGAGTAAGTACACGATACAGCCATTTCATAGCAAGAAAAGCTAGAAGATTGAGAAAAGGGCAAAAAGAAAGGATAAGAGCAAAGCATGCGAAAAAAAAGGGGGAGGGCAACATGAAGTCGTGATGAGGTAATCCCAACTTACAGGACAACCACCTCTGGCAGTTCCGCGGCATTCCGCGCCAGAGCAGTCTGCAAATGACCCGCGAAAACAGGCACGTTGATGAGCTTTGCGGCGCAGTTGAACGTCAGCACCAGCAGGTCCAGCGTCGAGGGCGTCATCGTTGCCGCGTCGCTCGGCTGGTCGATTCCCATGCTGCGACGGATTGAAGAAACAGAAGAGAGAAAACGAATGTCAAATGACGGCTGGAGCGTCTGGTCCGGTATTATTATAGCTGGGGGGGTTTTCTTGCTTTGCTTTGCTTCGCTTTGTTGGATTTGCCGCGAAGCCAAAAAAAGAAAAAAAAAAAAGGCACCGTGCCAGGCACCGTGTTCAGTTGATTGAACAGAGAAAGAACAAGGAGAGGCCGCTCAAGCGGGGTTCGCAGCTCCTATGTTGTTTAGCTCTGCAGCAGGAAGCGGCGAGTGGGCGACAAAATGAACAAAAGGGCTGAACCAAGAGTGAATAGTGAATCTGGCCTTTGCGATTGGAGCTTTCTTCCTCCCAGGCCCAAGACACAGCCCTCCTAATATATATCCATTGATCTCTTCAGCTTGGCTCTCGATACGACAGCGGCGGGTACTTTGCTGTACGCCCAACGCCGGTAGGCATCCCGTGTGGCTGAAAGGTACAGTCATGTACCGTCGCGGGTCATGCAACTATCGCCAGGGTGCCAGACGGAGTGCTCGATTTGCCGGCTAACCCTGCGTCAGCGCATAAGAATAACTGGACGGCTCAGGTCAGCTGCAGGCAGTGCATGCTGCTAAAATCGACTGCTTCTAGGCGGTGCCAGGTAGCACTAGGTGCTAAGGTATGTGGTGCTAGCAGTTCTACTATCCACGCCAACCTGAAGTGTTGAATCCATCGTGGAAATCCACCTCAACACCACAGCAGACTTGATCAACCCGTCACCGTAGGCCCTCGCTCAGGCAGCAGCCGTAGTTAGTACTACCATTGACTACTAGGCCACAGGTAAAGTATTGGCTATTCAAGCTATCCATGGAGATTAGCACAGGGCCAGGTAACAATGGCGACTGCCGCTGCGACGCCACTAATACTCCGTCAAGACTAATTAATTGGCACAACGCCATGGGGTTCAGTCAGGCAAGACAACATGTGATCACGGGTGGCCTCGTGGGACCCTTTGCTGGCCCAGGCACGCGACTACATGGACATTTTCATACTCGTACACACATTTCTACACTTTGCGGGTGAGACATTGAGTGGCAGTTGCATCAGCTGTGTCAAAGGAAAAACAAAAACCAAATTTGATTGCAGACTATATGACCTACTGGCTGAGCTGAGCTGAGCTTGTTTCTTTGCGACAAGAGACTCGTTGTTGATGCCTTGACCGTGCCATGAAGCTTTGACAGTCTTCTTGTCCCATGTGCCGTCAAATCCCTTGTCCAAGCGCGACGAGTTCAATGACAGACACCAGTGTGTATTTGGCGGCAACAACAACGAGTTGGCGTCAGGTGCCATGGCCGTGATCCGTATACCATATAGTTAAGCCATAGTACCAATTCCTTCGAGACGACCCCCCTTCTTGACAAATTAGGCTGATTCACTTCAATGTAAATCTTGTCTTGTCGGTAGCCCAATTGCAAGCGAAGTCGTGTCGAATTAGTCGCCATTGCCGTCCCTCCACCACGTTCCTCAAGGCGAGCTTCGCGGACAACCTTTCACCATCAAAAATAATGAAATATCGGTTAACCGCACCAAGAGATTGCCCCTTCCACTTGCAGGCCAATCTCATCGACTTCCCCAGAAGCTGCCCTTCGACACGCCGGCCTAAAAATAGAAAACAAAAAAATCGAACCGAGAAGTAGAAAGTATGATGCGTAGTATTAATTGACCAAGGAAAGAAAGGAGAACCACCCGCTCACCGAGACGCAGCTGTACCGCAACGACTGAGCTTGGGACCATGGCGGAAGAATATTGTCAAGAACCATTGGGGTCCAAGCCCGGCATTCTAAGCGCTCGAGCTGGCAAGGCTTGTACGGCCGTCTCTTAACTGATAGCAAGCCATCAGAGACGGCAGCCACCAAGTTTTTGAGATTGCTGCAACGGTCCAACAACGAAATGTTACCGGACGTGCCGTTCAGATTAACGTCCCTAAATCACAAGGAGGTGCTTTTGGGTGGAGTGTTGAAAGGCTCCAGTCCCAAAAAAAAAAGCACTTCCTCATGATTCAGAGTAATCCGAGCCATGCGTCAAGTCGTGAATTTAGAGATGCGTCGAAGAACAAGATAAAGCGATGCGTAGGGGCAAATGAAAAGAAATGAAACAAAGGGGAGGGGAGGTGCATAAAGGCGAATTTGAGAACCACAAAAGATCGATATCAGGCGCCAAGACGACCAGAGCCACCATCAGATGACCACAGTTGGCTTGTTGCGTGTCTGGGAATGTCGACTAAGGGTAAGAAAAAGAGGTTCTCGCAGCAACCCGCAACCACTGTGCTCAGATCTCACAAGAGAGGTGCAGAAAAAAAGCCCAAAGTACTATCTTTCAGTTTGGCCGATAGTTGCCGGAGGCATATCCCGCTCCCTTTGAAGCAGAGCGAAGCCTGTTTAGCGTCCACTGAGTCAGCCATACTTGTCAGCACAGTTCCCTTTAGCGGTATCAAGAAAATACAAATCGCGCGGAGGAAAAGTGACCCCTTACGATGAAAGAGCTGTTGGGCTAAGCTAAAATTAGAAACTCACATCCTATCGCTTCCACCGATGGCACGGCTAGTGTCCGGGGTATCAACGCCAGCACCAGAGCCACGCTCAAGCATCTTGCGGCGGGAGCTGGGCACAGCACCGGGCTTAGACGTAGTGACGGCGGCAGCGACGGTCATACGGGAAGCCCGAGCCTTGTCCTCATCCTCGGGGTTAGCCTGGCCGGCAGCCTGAGCAATGGCCTGGGCGTTCTTCTGGTACTTGTACACGGTCCAGTCGAAGACGTAGTCATACTGGAAGCCCTCGCGAACAAAGAGATCACGGAAGATCTTGCGCAGGTAGCTGTAGTCGGGCTTGTCGTCGAAACGCAGGGACCGAGTGTAGTTGAGGTAGATGGCGAACTCGTTGGGGAATCCACGGCAGAGGACCTCGGTAGGAGTGGTCATCTTCTTCTCCATGATGCGGTCGTACTTCTGCTTCTTAGTGGCAGCCTTGAGACCCTGCCAGGGGAGAGAGCCTCGGCAGAAGTACAGCATGACATAACCGAGCGACTCCATGTCGTCACGGCGAGACTGCTCAACACCAAGATGGGTGTTGATGGAGGCATAACGGGCCGTGCCAGTCAAGTTCTTGTTCTCTCTGTAGGGAATGTGGAAGTGAGTCTTGGGATCGCGGTACTTCTTGGCAAGACCAAAGTCGATCACGTTGACCTGGTTGCCACGCTTGCCAATGCCCATGAGGAAGTTGTCTGGCTTGATATCTCGATGGATGAACGACTTGGCATGGATGTACTCAATACGGGAGATGAGCTGGTCGGCAAGGAGGAGGACAGTCTTCAGGGAAAATTTGCGGTTACAAAAGTTGAAGAGATCTTCCAAACTGGGACCGAGGAGGTCGAGAACCATGGCATTGTAGTCACATTCAGTTCCGAACCAGCGGACGAAGGGAATTCCAACGCCGCCAGCAAGGGACTTGTAGACACGAGCCTCGTACTCAAGCTGAGGGTGCTTGGCCTTGACAGACTCGAGCTTAATGGCAATCTCCTCTCCAGAGATGATGTTGGTGCCAAGGTAGATGTCGCCAAAAGAACCAGAGCCGATCTTTCGGCCAATCCGGTATTTATTACCGACGCGAAGGTCCTAAGCAACGCAAAGACAGATTAGCAAATGATTGAAGAAAGCAAGCATGATGCCAGCGATATTGGTCGCTCCACCGATGCAACCATCTCTCGAAACTCTCTCCAAAGGGCATAGATTAGAGTAGAGCAGCGGTGAGTCCATTCGGCACTGCCGATAGGTGCATTGGCCAGCGGTTTGGACGCCGAGACCGATGCACCCAGTTTGAAAGCGTACCACGCGAGACAAGAAAAAAATCAGGAGAATTTGATGCTTACCATGGTCGTCATGGTGACTGTATTGACTGTATGCTTCGTTCCTCGAGGGAAAGAAGCAGGCTGGTCGGTTTATGTTGGGTATCGGGATCGGTAAAACTGCAAATCCTGAGAGGTTGTCAATATCGGCCGCCGAATAATTGCCATACAAATGAAGCGAGCGTGAAGAGTAGCGACGAAGGACGCAAAACGTAAGATGTAGAACCAAAAAAAAAAAAAAATCAAAGAGATGGAGGGAGGGAGATCAAAGAGGCTGTGATGAAATGGTTGGACAAAGGGAGTGGGCCTAGGGGCCTGCTGAAGGGCGGTGGCTAGATCCGCCACCAGCAAAATCCGGTGCTAGGCCGAATCATGCATGACAAGAGCCTGACGAGAGCAACGTTTGCTCCAGGATAGGAGGCAGAACCACGCCATCAGGGCTGCATATGCCACGGAGGAGGAATCAATGCAAAACAGGGGAGAATGGCAAAGATGGGCACGAAGTAACCGAGATGGAAACACCCAGAGGCCAACTAACCTGCAGAGGAGAATTTGGGACAGCAGCCGACGGGGAGGGCGCCAAATTCGATATGTCGGTGACGAGGTAGCGGGTGCGTGGCAACAAAGGCAGGCCTGAGCGAAAAAAAAAAAAAAGAAGAGAAAAAAAATCAAAAAAAATTATTGCAGATCGAAGGTGCTGCGGCGGGGCGCGTCGATGAAATCGAGTCGAGCGGAAAGGCGGCGATGCTCGAAAGAAAAAGTGCCGAACGAAGCGATGCTCTCGTCGGGGCGAAGGTTGTCAGGGAGAAAGTGAAGGGAAGAGGGAGAAAAAAGCGGAGGGAGAGGAATGGATAGTAGAAGAAGGGGGAGAGCTGAGATTTGGAAGGGCGCCTGAGCCTGAGCCTGAGCCTGTGCGCGGGCGAGTGCTGTGGCGCGCGCGCTGCTGTGGGCGCTGTAACTGGGCGCTTGGCGCTGAGCTGCAGTGGGTAGTGGGCAGAGCAGTGAACGAGTAGCATTTCAGGCCGCTGGTGACTGGCCAGGCGGGGGAAGGCACCGGGTGCTACCGAACAGGCCCTTGCAAATCAGATTGCTTGGGCAATGCAACGCGACGGCGGATTGTCCACAAATAGACAAAAATACAAATAGGAGGATTGCTGCTGCCACTGCTTCTGCTCCTGCGTTGGCCCGTTGCTGATGGCCAAAGGATGCAGATGCAGGTGCAGGCGCAGGTATACTCGTAAGTAGATGCCCCGTATCCGCAAAGTACCACGACGGAGCATCGCTCTCCAGCCACGGCGTCAAAGAGCGCCGACGCTGCTTGGTGCGTCCGCTCGAGGGAACGATGCGGTGACCTGCCAAGTACATCGCACCACAGCCAGCGATCCAATGCCCCGGCTTACAGTGCCTGTGCTGCCTCTTTCGCCTGCTAACGAGACGGAGGACCAGGTTGCTGAATCGTGCCCAACTTCCTACTACGAAGTACTTGCCTCATTCACAACCGTCCGAGCGCACCAGCCCTCCCTCTCTTCGATTGTTATTTTTCTCTTCAAGCCCTGAACCCATTTTTCTCTCAGATATCAATCCGTCTTCTTCCCACCAGCACGCTCATATAAGAAAATTGGGTCACGATGCAAGTCACGTATCGGGTTGATTTCGTGTTCCAACCAGTGCTCGTCGTTTAAGCCCCTCTCCCCGTCGTTGCAGCCTGGTGAAGCCCAGTTCAACCCAAGTGTGGAGCTCAGCGGTCGCTTAGGTGCCTTTGTATGCCTCCGAGCCGCTTCGGGGGGAGACGCCAAAATAGAAGTGAAACGGAGAAAAAGCTCGGGAAGAAGACAGATCCAACCAGAGACTCGAGTCCATCGCCGCTCATACCTGTACGATGATGGGAAATACAGCTGAGGCTCGGTGAAGTATGGCGGCGCTAAAAATTGATTGTCCTGGAGGCAATATTGAAACAAGCAAGCAAGAGCACGGGGAAACAAGCATCCAGACGAGTACAAGAGTCTGCGTTGTGAGAGACGGCCTCAGCCGCATTCACTGGCTGCCATTGCCAGGGTTGTTGAGCCACAAGGACAGGGGAGTGGCTCACCGAGATGCCTCATTTACCGCCCTGCATATGATCACTAGGTAACAGCCAGCCAGACGTGCAGCGCTGACGTGCGCTGGCGATGAACTGGCAAATATGCCTCGAAATGTGGCAAGCCCTCGGGGGGTTTATCGTCTGTCCGCCTGCATCCTCATCTCGGGATACGAGAATCCCGAGAGGGCTCGCGAGCGGGCTGGCTTTGCATTCGTGCATGATGTGGCCATGATTTTGCCGCCTCAGACAGTACGAGTAGTCTCCTCACGAAGAAACACGGCTACAATTACTCCGTACAAGTATATTGCGCAGTACCAGAGCTCGTGGCCTCTTGAGACGCCGCTGGCCATGTTCAAATATTCGGCTACAGGCCAAAGCTCCAAGCCCGAGCCCGAGCCCGAGCCCGAGCTCTCTCTTCACCTAGCGCGTGCCCGCGTCTGGATTGGTAGCGAGAGAAGCTCAGAGCATGTGCTCGTTATTTGGGCGGGAAGCGAGAGTGCACAGCAAAAACCGCAAAGGAAAATGCTTGCATCTGCAAGTCGGAAAGCCTCACCAAGTCGCCTGCAAACCCCTCAAAACGCCACCCATGCGCCCTCACCTGACCACCATTGGCATGCGAAGCCAGATCGGCACCGGTTGACCAAATTCCTGGGGTAGGCGGAATCCCGAGCGCCCATGGGCTCAACAGTTTTTTTACTGTGTTGTGTTTCCTTTTGCTGCGCCCTTGGTAACACTACCCGGGTCGGTGACACCGGCCGGTAGTCTGAGCCTCTACGAGGGAGAGAGGGAAAATGGCCATGTCAAGTGTAAGAAAAGAAGTCCAGAAGGGGAAACATGGTACGAGGACTCGCACTGATCATGTACATTTCCGCCTTTTCAACTCGCTAATTCCGGCCAACAAAACCAGCGTTTCCCTACTAAGTTGTACGAAGCGAAGCAGGCCGCTACCCAGACCGGACCAGCTGACTGATGGACATGCACAATGCATGCGACAGACTCGTGTGTCGTTTTAAGCGCTCAGCTCAATCGACAAAAAAAAGACCCGAGAGCACAGGGTTATCGCTTTGGGCGCCTCTGCATTAGTAGTATCAAGTGAGGTGTGATGGCGCAGAGATTAAAGTCTCCGCGGGAGAGCGTATCTAAACAGTGACTCCCTTGCGCAAGTCGTACCGGGTTTCTCGCCTCGATTCACCACAAATGTCTCGGAAGCCCTTGTCCGTCGTGTGATTTTTTTTTCGTAATATCAAGAAACCGGCCAAGAGAGCAGCAGTGTTGCCCCTTTTCTCCATGTTGCGTCTATTTCCCGCCGTTACATAGATTTCCTGTCCTCGGTCTCTCCTCTCCTCTGGTGCAGCACCCAGCTAGTACACGCAGCTAATACACACAGCTATGTACACCACTGTACTTGCACAGCATGAGGTAGCAAAAACCGGCGCCAAAATTAATTGAAACTCGGCCTTGGTGTCTGCGTAGCTGCGCACAATGTCGGGCCGCCAGCAGCTATTTCTTAGTCGCCGGCACGGCTCTGTGCACAGCCCAAAATAGATTGTCCCCCACACTCATCACATCAGCCTCCAACGTTCTTCTGCGGCGTTTCTTCAGTTCCAATGAGCACAGTATCATATCACGGTACTTCAATAATATATGCAGTAGTAGAAGTAAATACTACGACTCCAGACCTTGTATCTACAATGTGACTGTACAGTATTGCAGTAGTCGTTATACAGACTATAGACGTGCAGACTTGATGCAGACGCAACTCGCTACTCAAGACATCACAACCGCGCCATTAGAGAGGCCGTCAGTCAGTGCGGTCGCACAGCATGCAAGTAATCTCGGCCGTACTCTATAGGAAGGGAATCAAAGCATTCTGACCAGCTTCTCATCCCCAACAAGAGAAAGAGAAGCGAAATGAAATGAAAAATAGCGAGACCGAGACAGTGGCAGAGAGGCGAATGACCCCCTCATCATCATGACTCTTCTCCTCATCACTCGCACGCAGCCTGGCAGCCATGTTTGACGTATCAAAACCGTGCTAATACCGAAATCATGGGGACGGGCCGTCTGAAAAACAGCTATCGGGAGGAAAAGCCACTTTTACCTCTTCCGCCTCCGTAATTGTCCGTAAAATCTCTCACTTTGACTTATATAATAATAATCATCTCATACGAAATCGGAGGTCGTTTCTCTCTCTTCCGTTTGTCTTTATTTCCGGTTTTTTTTTTTTTTTGCGGGTTATTTTAGTTAGACGGTCCGTCTTCGGAGAGTCCACATGTACAATGTAAAGGAGGGGGAGGCAGATACGATTACATTGACAAAGTCTGTCTTTGGTGAGCACCCAGAGAATTGTACATTGTAAGAAAGGTTAAGCGCAGGCACTCTCCCTACCATATGTGAGAGAGTCGGCCTTGACGTCATATTGAAATATCTCTATAATTGTGTTCATTCCAATGTCTACCTATGCAAGACACAGCAAGAGCAGATTCTAAGTTGTTGAACAGCAGTTGATCACATCTCTTGATAACAAACATATGGTCACATTGTGCTCCTATTCCCAACATTTCAAGATGAATATATTCGCTGTGAAACTAAGATGTACGGAGCCATGCTCTACCAAATAATTATGCCAAAACAACCTTCTCTCTCTCGCTCTCATTATCGACGTAATAATACCTCCATCGATTCAAAAAGATGTTCGCCAGATATGCAACAACATCTATATAACAGATATATAATGGTAGAAAAGCAGAAATCAAACCTCCCTCGCCCGTCTAAGTAGGACGAGGGGGCTGAGGCGGTGGCTTGGTAGACGGTCCAAGCACAGCATCAAGCTTATTCTCCAGCCCTTTGCCCGTCTTGTCTATCCACTTCAACGCCGACGAGCTGCTAAATAGCCGGCCACTGCTCATTCCTCCGGACGACCGCCGAGGAGCCTGGCCTGGAGCCGCAGGCGGCGGGCTAAACACTCTCTGTGGCGGCGGGGGATATGACACGACGTTATGAGAGTTGAACCCCACAAACAGCTGAGGCTGCGTTGTTGCTGGGCGTGGCGGCAGAGGAGGAGACGCATACTGAGCCTGCGGCACGTTTGGAGACGAGGGGATATTACCATTAGCCGCCGCATAAGTAGGCTGGGTTGGATATTGGTGCTGGTGAGGGGCTATTGCCGGTCCGCCGTATGGTGCGTTATATCCTGAAGGATGCGTAGCAGGAGGAGGCTGCGTGCCTGGTCTTGGAGCACCAGCATACCCATAAGTTGGCGACGGCTGCGGCTGCGGATACTGTTGATAAGCACCCACCGCTGCCTGCTGGAATTCCGGTCGCGGCGGCTGAGGAGGTGGATTCGCATTTGAAGATGCATAGGTAGGTTGCGGGATCTCATAGCCTGAAGTCGGTGGTGGAGGCGTATAGTGCTGAGGAGGAGGGTAAGGCGCCGGGCTCGGGGGAGCTTGCGATGCTAATGCCACTGGAGGCGTGGGACTCGGGGGAGCATACAGATGTTGCGCGGGTGCCTGGTTGATGGGCTGGAATTGAAAAGAGCCCAGCTGTGGACTGGGAACGGACGAGGTCGGCGCCGAATGGGGCGGTCCGTATGCTGGGTGGCCTGGGATAGGACTTGAGTTTGGAGGGTAGCCCATTGCCGGAGTTGGATGTGAAGGGCTTGGTGATGGGTGAGGGTAGCCCATTACAGGGCTTGGGTGTGAAGGACTAGGTGATGGATGAGGATAGCCCATGACAGGACTTGGATGTGAAGGACTCGGTGATGGTTGATACGGAGTACCCGCCGGTGCTGGATGCGGAGGCACCGGAGGTTGAGAGCTGAGACGTGGAGTTGGGGCGGCCATGGGTGGATGTTCTGCTACAGCTACCACTGGAACGGGCTCCTGGATAGGGGGAGCAGCAGCCAGGGGAAGAGGAGGCGGGAGAGGAGGAGGAGGACCAGTTGCTGCTGGCGGCGGAGGTTGATTTGGTTGATGGTGCTGATGTGGATGCTGCGGTGCCACTCCCACCAAGGGTACCTCTGCCGAACCAGATGAATCTGCTGCCGGGTGCTGATCCTGTTGCCGTCGCTGTTGCTGTTGCTGAGCGAGATCCGGAGATGCGGACCCCACCGCATTCATCGATTGCGAAGACGTCCCCTGGGGAGCAGCTGGAGGAGCCGCCGGAGGAGGAACGGCTTGCGGAGTAACACCGTGAGGAGGAACGGCCTCTACGGCCGGAAGCCCATGAGACTGAGGCGGCGGAGGCGACGATACAGGCTGTGGAGGCACCGGAGGCACCGGAGGAGTCGAAGCTGCCGCCGCATCATCCACATATCCGGCGGGACGATACGGCCGATACGGCAACGCCGTCGTCGCATCGCCCTGGGGACCATTAGAAGGCCTCTGGTGCTTCACGTTAAGCGGCGCAACCGGCGCGACGTCCTCTGCCGGCGGGCTGTACGGTATGAACGCCGGTGCAGCGCCGGCGGGTGGGATCTGCTTCCTCGACACCCGGAGAGGCGCGACATAAAACGAAGACGGCGGCGAAGAAGACTTGCTCGCTGCTGCAGGGGCAGGGGCAGGAGCAGGAGGAGAGGCGCCGTCTCCGGCTGGTTCGCCGTGAGTGCTGAGGCGTAGCGGCCGCGGTGCTGCCGTGACATCTTCAACCTTGGCTTCTGCATTTCGGAATTCCTCAGCCTTGACCCCTAGCCCACCAACATCAGGTCCAGCCGCAACCGCCACGGAAGCCTTGGGCCCGTCCTCTTCACTCGGCGACATGGGCCCAAAATACGCCCACGGATTCGCCAGCGGCGGCTGCTCCTCGCTCTTTGCCTCCGCCTTGCCAGGTTGCTGCTGCTGCTGCTGCTGCTGCTTCTTCTTCTCCTGCTCCTCCACGTCGACCCGCGACTCCGTTTTGACGTCCTGGTCCAGATAGAAAGGCCACGGGTTCGCCTGCACGACGTCTCCGTCCTGCGCCTGCACCGGCTTTCTCCCCGGCTCGTCGTCTGCCCTGGGCACCACGGAGTCGCCGGGCATCTCGAAGACTTCGCCGTCGAGGTGGGACCGAGGCGAGGTGTCGAGCTCGACGGCGCCGCGATACTGCGGATGCGCCATGGCCGAAGGGAGCCCAAGGGGGAGGAGGATGCGAATGCGCAGGTTTGTTTTATTTGGTTTCTTCTCTTTCCCTCTTAATTCTTCTCAACGTTCGCCCGCGTCTAATCGTTTGTTGCTGCTGCGTCTATGAGTGCACGTCGTAAATCGTCGTCGCTTTTCGCTGTCGTTGCGCAGATGGGGCTTTGTCGCAATCGCAATCGCAAGCGCAATCGCAACGCCGAGGAGCTGAAACCGACGGAATCACGCGGACGCCACCGCTGCCATGAACAGTTGACCGGTAAAGGATTGCCTCTTCCCCCCTTATTCCAGCTGTTCTTAAAGCGAATGACAAGAAACAAACAAAGAAAAGAAAAAGCAGAAAAAGTTGGGAAAATAGAAATCAAAACACACAAAACCAAGGCTCGTCGTTGCAATAGACTCAGGATGTCGTTGGTGTACCAAGTACAAACAAGAGCAAAGCAACTTGCCTGTAAAAGGCACGAAACGAGCCACAGCCGCGCAAAAGCGGGCCACCAAAAAAAGCCAGCCACATTCCAACACGTAAGGCCAGAGCGCAAAGTACTCGTAACAAACCAAAAAGTACTGCTACTCACGCGTACGAGTACTCCCTCGCCAGCCCTGCGGCCGTTGGATCGCGCCGCCTGGCTAGTTCATAATGCCGGCAATCAAAAGCTGAACCCTGGCCTTGCGTGCTGTGGGTTTTTTTTTTGCGGCCAAAGTGACTAGATTGGGGCACGTTTCCTGCTGAACCTCGTCGTTCTTTTTTTTTCTCCTAGGGGCGAGGGGGCCCGCGCCGAGACAACAAACGACACGAACAAGGTCTCTCTTTCGGACGGGCAAAACTACCTACTAACCTTAGTGCTGGCATGCGATCTGCGCAAGGGGCAGGGAATCTGCCATGTGCCAGCTGGAATCCACTTTGTGTCTTTGCCTCTCGTTTTTTGCAACGGGAACCAAACATGGGCCCTGCTTGCTGCAAGAGTCAGTGTGTAGGTACATTTACATTACATGGCATTACATGGTGAGGTCCCTCCCCCTTGCATTGCCTCCAGATGTATGTAACGAGTACATTCGATTCTGTACACCACAGCGGCAAAGCACCAGCATCCTCGTACACCCGGTTTTCCCATTGGACAAAGAGGCCCATCGAATCTGCGAATCACATCGTCACATCATAACTCGATTCAAACTTCGTCGACGGCAGAGGATGATGCTAGGAATAATGACAGTTCCACCCTGTCAGCAGAAGAGAACCCACTCCCCTTTCAACTTTATATATACCTTACAAGTCCCAGACGCTAGATGAGACCTCGACGCTCACCCCGGGAAGAAGCAGATGTAAGTGAGATGTGACAAGATGTGATCAACAAAATTTCAATTTCATGCTTGGACGTTAAATCATGCCTCTACTACCCCCGCTCCGCCACACATACATACATATATCCTCAGACAAACCGGATCCATCATTATATTTCTCTGTAACCCTCCCCCCAAGAAACAAACATAAAAACCCGCTTGCAAAAGCCGCCAATTAGTTCCATATTCCAACACAGCACGCAAACCGCTTGCCCGACATGTTCCTGCTCCAAAGCCCTAGCATACAAACAGGGGGAAATCTCCATCAAACAATGCCAACTAGCAAACGACACCGTATTCATTATAATCCCAGCTTGGTTGGAAGCAATCCAACCAAGGAATACAGGGTTTGCCACCATACACACTCACGCATATCGAATAGCTACAAAATGAAAAGGTACAAAAACGTAGAGTCAAAAGAAGTCGTCATGACAAGCATCGCCTGAAAAGCTTTAATCGTCGTTCTTCGCCCCACGCTTCATTCGGCCGGCCCATCGCCGTTTCCCTGGCCTTGTCTCGAAATGAGGTGCAACGGCGTGGACGTCAGCCATGGTACTCTCAATGGCCGCACGGGTTTTGTTTCGGTAGCAGTCAACTGAATAGTTCGGTCAGCCCTCGCTCTCTCATATACTCATAAATCCGCGTGAGGGCTGCGGGCCAGTGGAGGAGGGGGAGAAAAAAAAACACTTACGGGCTCGCTGAAGGAACACAGTCCTTCCAGAAAAGACTCGGCTCTGCAGCCAGGCCATACGATAACCGAGATCATTCAGTCGCACCTCCTTGGTGCGGCCAGACTTCCTCAGTCTTGGGATAGTTGCCTCTCCCTCTTGGCCCTCTGCCATGGTAACCTTGACCACTTCTCCCCTCAGCTTTTCGGCGCCACGACGTGAGGCCTCGCGGCCCTCAGTCTCTTGTGTGCCGTCATCAGAATAGTCGTCAACAAAGAACCGCGAGCCCGTAGCACTGGGAGGCGGGCTCTGCATCTCGCGAGGGAAGTAGCTTCGGGGAAAGACACTGGCTCCCTTGCGGAAGCTGTCCGGGATCTCATTGGTATCAACGCCGTCGAGCGTGACACGCACCCGAAGGCGTGATCCCCGAACATTGTCTTCAACCAGGATGAACTTGCGCCTCTTGGCCTCGGGAATGTCGGGAAACAGACCGTCCCCGGCATCGTCAACGCGACCGTGGCTCCTCGCCGGTATGGGCCCGCTGGTCCGGGGAGCCATATGAGACATCGACCCGCCTTGAGGGCCGACAGGGTATGAGCCCGGGCCCGCGTATCCCGCAAAGACGTGAGCCTGTCTCACATCGTCACTGCCCACGGGGGGCATCTGAGCTGTTGGCGCCTGGTGGTGGTGGTGATGGTCTTCGTAGGAATTATTTCCTTCGCCTCAACAAACGCGTTAGCATTATACTCTCCAATAATTACTACTCGGTGGGCAAACGCGAATAACAGTGACAAGGAGAAAAAGACCAGTACGATAAAGGACAAGGAAAGCACACGAAACCCGTCTTCGAACTTTTTATATAGCAAAGACGCAAAAAGCAACGGGATCAAGCAAAACGAACTGAAGAACGAGAGCGAGAGAGGGATAAGAGTGTTTAGATGCGTAATTGAATGAACCCCTTATTAGCCATAGCAATCTGTAACTGCCAGCGGGAGGAGGGGGGGATAACTTTTTATAGCCTTAAGGCGTATTTGAACTCATCTAAGAGTCGCGCGAAAACCAGCAGCAAAGCAGACAACTTGACAGCAGCGGCAGCCGATGCGACTTTTATGGTAATATACAGGATTGTGCCAACCGAGGGACCGACTATCGACCTCTTGCCATTAAGGCATGCTGTATAAGATAGGTAATATGATGCGCGGTAAGACAAGCGAAGCCGGCCCATTGCTATTTAACAAAAAGACGTCAAGAACACACAAAAAATTGTTACAGAACCCCAATTCCGAGAGAGTCATAGAGAGCCGAAGAGGGAATAAAGGAAAAGTTGTAAAGGAAAAGATAAATAGAAAAACCAGTGAGAAAAAAGCAAAAAGGGGGCCGGTGAATCAAGAAAGAAGGCCCCCCCTTCAAACAAGAGTGTAAAGTGCTTTTTGCAGGAGGGTTAAAAATGAGTTGGTATCATTAAATCAACACAACGTTTTGACGGCGTAAAAACTGTCTAGTGAGGTTTGCAAGGCAGAAAAGTGATGCAAATACAGCAGATGCGACAGCAAGAAATCAATCACATCTGGTGAAACATACCGACTTCTTCTCCACCCGGTGCGCCGTCAGGGTGGCCCCCGGCATGGTGATGGTGCATAGGCTGCCCCATGCTGCCTATCGTTGGCTTGCCCATGTTGGGTGCATGAGCCGTGGGCATGGGTGCGGGAGCGCCAGAGAGACCTCCTGGTCCACCGGGGCCCGACATGTGGGCGCCGGGATGCGGAGCGCCCTGGACCTGCTGCTGCTGCTTGCGGCTGTTCATCTTGGCCATGCGGCGGACTCTTCGGCTTCGGAGCCGGGGATCTTGGTTGCTGTTGCGCCAGCTGTCCACGGCGCGCTGGATCAGGCCTCGCTTGCCCCGCAGGGGGATGTTGAGCTGCGCCAGGGCCCAGCCGACCCTGTTGCAGTCGGTCTCGTAGATGAGACGGTTTCCGCGATACTGGTCCTTGGGGCAGCACGCTCTGGGGTAGACGCAGTTCTCCTGCTTGAACTCGGGGGAGAGCTCGTCGATGTTGACCGACTCGACGTCGCAGCGGATCGTGTACTCCATCTTGACCCGGTCCCGCGAGTACTCAAAGGCAATCCACTGGACACCGTTGCCGTCCTGCCTTACGACGAGGGGCGTCGTCGCGGGGATGGGGCCGGGGGCAGCATTGGGATTGACGGCGGGAGTCGGGTTTGAGGGACTCTGAAGCTGCGGCGGGCCTTGTTGATGGTGGGGTTGCGCCATGGGAGAAGGCTGCGGCTGCTGTTTCTGCAGCTGCAGGGGAACTTGGGGCTCAATCTTGGGCCGCGGGCTGCCCGTCATGCCAGCCTGCGCATGCTGTGCGTGCTGCGCCGCGTGCGGCGGCATCTGGTTCTGCGGTGCTGCATGCGACATCATCATGTTGGGCTGCGATGCCATTGATTGCTGGTGATGATGGGCGTGCTGCGCGTAGGGAGAGGGTGCCGCCTGATGGGGCATTGACTGGTATTGGGGCTGAGGCTGGTAGTACATGGACTGCTGCAAATGCTGAGACGGCGGCTGGCCGTACAAACTTCTGTGCTGGTCATGCTGCGACGGCGACGCTACTGATGCGGGAGAGTTTGACTGTGGTGTATGATATGACATTGGAGGGTAGGGAGGTCTAGGCATTTGGGCGGCGGCCATCATGTCGGAGGTATCTAGGAAGCAAAAAAAAAAACCTTGCGTTAGCAAATCTTGGGACGCCGATGAATCGCTCGCGCGTGCGTGCGTGCGTTTGCTGCGGCGCAAGACGACTTACCGGCGGACGTGTATCCGCTCGTAGCACCTGGTGTGCTGTACGGACTCGGGTGGTTGTAGTAGTTCAGGGCCTCGGGCGTGCTGGTAGCCTGGTTGCTGGCCTGGTACGCCTGTGGGAGAGTGTGCTGCGACGAGTATGCGCCCTGGTGATGCTGCGGCGGCTGGTGTTGCGGATGCTGCTGGTGATGCTGGTGGACAATGCTTGGAGGGCGCGAGTGCTGGAGCTGCTGTGAAGGCGGGTGACCTTGTTGCTGGTGGTGGGCTTGATGCTGCATATGGAGAAGACGCATCAGTAAAACTTCAACGTCGAATAACTCATTAAGCTGGTAGAGAAAAACATGTCGAGATAGGACGCGTTTGATGTTTTATCTGCCCCCTTGGCAGACTGATGGCCCAGCACGTCGTGGTGGGGTGGGCCATCCCCTGGCGACTGACCGGGATGACACGGGTGAGGCGTGCTAGGCCTGAAAGGACAACGCCGGTAGAAGCAATCTTGGTCTCGCGTACCGGAGGGCAGGGCTTTGGGGTAGAGGCAACGTGGGGACGTCGTACCGCCTAGCTCCAGATGATGAATTGGGACGCCAGCGAGGGATGAGCGGGAGACCGGGGGGCATGGCTTGCGAAGAAGGGGAGAAGGAAAAAGTGGCAGGGCGGTTTCTTGCGCCGTCGCAGGCACAGAGAGGACAAGCCAGGGGGAAGAGCAGGAGACCTGGGAGCAGGACAAGGAGGGGTGGTGAAGAAGAGCAGGGGGAGCCAGCAAGCGTTTGGAACCAAGGACTGACGTGGTATGCAAAGTACAGACTGATGCTTACCGCCGTACCGTACAGAACGGTGTGGTCGAAATTGAAAGTTGCTATCGTGTGTACGCTTCCTTGAAACGAGACGACTTCTATGGGGAATTGCAGCGCAGAAAACAACGCAAACGCAAAGGGCAAACGCGCTCGGCGAGAAAAAGATTGCTCGGCTTTCTCTCGTCCGAGAAATTGTCAAGCGGGCTTTTTAAAAAGAAAAGAAAAAATCGAGGAACGCGCAGAGGATTGAGAAAAAAAAATAAAAAAAGAAAAAGGGCCTAGGTGACCCAAGTCCCATATACTTTTTGGGTCTGCTAGCAGGGGGGAGGGGGTGTCGGACGGGGGAGGCAGCTTGAGAGCGACGGGGAGCAGGGATAGGCCAGGACCGGGGCAGACCAGCGCATGGGAGACGCGACAGGGGCGCAGAGGTTTTGATTAAACGGCCAATAACGGCCTTGCGAGGTCGAGCCAGGGGCGACACGACCAGGACCAGCTGCCCAATCAGGCATTGGCCAGCCGGGCCTAGCCAGTCGACAAGGATTGCGCCGGGATTGCCATCACCATGTTCCGTCTCGTTAGCCCACAGGCGGTGTGTGTGGGTGGGCGAGACAAGGTCGACAGCATGTACCGGTACCAAGGGCCAGCAGACTCTCTTTGACGGAGCGACAATGCGAACAAGGAGCCATCCATAAGCCGGCAAGTCAGGCTAGGCTCAGTGCCGTGTGAGTATGTATGAGCAAAGTACTCGTACCACAACCAAGCACCTGTACTCGTACAGTCAAGCGCAGGTAGGTTCCGGACCGCACACGCAGCGAGTCGTACTCAATCTCGTACGGGAGGGCATGGGAGCACCTGGGCAAGACAGAGGCAAGACAGAGACTTGGTGATAGACCAGATGAAGTTTCCCCGGTTTCGGCTACCGGCGCGGCGGGCACCGAACCCCCGACGAGCCATTCTGTGCCCCATTCATCCTTGTCCTCTCTTCTTCTTTGCGTCTTGCACCACCATGGCAGAGATGAGAGTGACCTGCGCGCATCTTGGCCAGTAACAGGCTGCTCTCGTTGAGCAAGAGGGCTTCTCGTCCAGCAGCAGTGGCATGGCATGGCATGGCATGGCATGGCGCCGCGGCACGCCACTCCGGGCAGCTGAATCAGCCTTGGGACGAGACAGGCTTTGTGAGAGATGTGGTGCCTATGGCCCCCCACTCAGAGCTTGACGATTGGGTGGTATTGGACCCGTGGAATCCAACTGTGTTGCCATCTGACTGCTCAATCTCCACTGATCTTGGGTACTGTAGAGGTCCTCGTCCTCGTCCTCGTAGCCTTGCCCAGGTATGTCCAGCGTACGAGTACCAGTACCAGGTACCGTGCTCCGTACTCGCACCAGCATGCTTGTGCTTGTGCTTGTGCTTGTGCCTGTAAGCGCGGCTCAGACTGATGCCAGCAGCCAACGCAATGCCATGTACCTGTACTCGTTCCAGTACCGGGCGGCCCCTTGCCCTTGACGCAACTTTGCTCGAAATAAAGATTGTGGAGTGCTGTGAAATTCGGTACAACCACGCCAAACCGCCTCCCAGGGCCTCCAATCGCTTGAGGACGCCGGTTGATTCTGGCGGTGCAATGACGAGAGCCAGAGCCGTTGGTCGCAGCCTTCATTACCTCTTGACCACTAGGCCATGTTTCTTCTCAATCCAGGCCAGGGCTCTTCTCGCCTAGCTTCATTGCTCCAACACCGCTGACTGACACTGCGGAGCAACCAGACTGGTACCATTGGGTCCACTCGACCCTGTCGTAGGTGGCGCGCCCTGGCCGCTGGTGAAACAGGAGCTGCTTTCCCATGCCCACTCAGTGAGTCCCGGCGTGGTTAACCTTGCGACATGGCACGCTAGCGACCTTCAAGGCCACAGATCATACCAGGTTTGAACGACGGAGAGAGCCTTTACAGATTGCTTGCTGACACCGCTTGGTGCTGTGATTCTGGATGAAAGTCGTAGGACGAAAGACAAGTGTCGAGCGTGAAGGAAAAGGGGGGGCGCAGGAAGGTCAAGAGAGAATGGAATGCCTACCAGTTCATTGGTGTGATCTTGAAAGTATGCTCGGGGTTGGCTGAGGGTCGCCATGATGGCAGAATCGGAAGAATTAAATCGAAGGCTTGGAGATGCTAGGTAGTGTCAAATCAGTGAAGCCCGGCATGAATTTGAAGAGTAATCTAAAAAAAAAAAAATCAAGGTTCTGCTTTGGAAATTTTGTACAGCGACAAGGCTGCTTACCTTGTTTGAATGTTATTTTAATAGCTGGCTCTTCAAGACTAGATTTAGGATGAAGCCGCAAGCCAGGTCATCCAGGTGAAGAATTAGGGATAGGCTATTATATCTGGCCTTTTTGGGGGTTCGCTGATTCAGACGATCAGCCGCCACTTCTCTCTCTTTGCTCTTCTTTTTCTTTCTTTTTCCTTTTTGGGATATGCGGGACAAACGCGTCCAGGCATGCTCCAGTGCAGAAAGCGATATGTCTGAAATAAGGGGATGGAGAGGTTCCGGGAAACCAGAGGTGTGGTTTATGCAGAGAGAAGAGTGTAATCAATCCAGTCATGTCATCATGGAATCATGGCAAGGAAGCTCCAAGAGGAAATTGGGATCGAATTCGAACAATGGGTATAGGTAGCACAGAATATATGAAGCAGTACTCACTTCGAAGACGAGATTGCTTTCGGTATCCAACTTGGGCCAGCTACAAGGACCAACGCGCAGAGTTGTCGCTTCTTGAAAGAGTGCGCTTGTTTGAAGGAATTGCTTTGAATTGAAGCAATATCTTGTACCGTGACAGACCAGACACCGGATGCAAAGCCACACCCAGTCGCCAGATGGCTTGTGATATCTCGACCGCCCAACGTTGAACTGTGGCGGCACGGTTGCGTCGACTACTCGTACCTAAGAGGCAAGCCTCCTGCAGGCGTCTCGCTCAGGTGCTAGGTTCAGCGGTAGGTGCTACTCGAGTTGTTACATTAGTTCATGCAAGTCCAAGGATATTGCGGCATCCCAATCGACGCTCGTGGCAATGCGTACTCGTACAAACCAGAGCAGAGGGAGAATGGCAGCAGCCGGATCACTGAGGCACAGGTACTCGTACAAAAGGAACTGAGGAACTGAGCCGGTCTCGCAAATGTCTCGATGGAAAAGACGCAATGTGATTCAACACGGAACACGTAGAGTAAATAAGCAAAATGAAGAATGATGGAGGGGGAAAATGCAAAGCCGGGATACGCTCAATCACAAAAAGAAATTCGAGGCGATCATCCTATGCACACGACATCGCTCGAAGAGGGTAAGGAGATGACAGGACAGGAATAATCTAGCGGTGCTACTGCCTGCAGCAAGAAGGTAGGCACAAGTACATGTACCTTCTCTGGCGAGCCGGAGTACAGGTACTCCGTACCTGGTCCGGGCAAGTACTCGTACCTCCTCTTTACAGCTCAGTGCTGTACACGTACGAGTAGGTACCTACTCGCGTACCGCGCAGGCCTGGTGCTGGCCCCTTTTACCCTGGGAGGCGGGCGATTCCGAGGCATCGGCACTCACGCTTCGGCTTAAAGACCTGAACAGGGGTGCTCTCCAAAGCAGTGGTGATGCTAGGTAGTACGGGTACTAGTGGTACTGTATGTACATTGGATGTACTAACTAAAGGGACAGTGGTATATCGATCGGCTTGGTGTATCCTAAGAACAGGTAGTCGAGCTCATCAGCTGGTCACGTAGCAGCAACTGCTTTCTTCTTTTCCTTTCAGGTTCTTTTTTATTTCGAGAAGCCCAGGCTCGATTATGCTACCTCTCTTATGCCAACAATGCTATTGAGAATCACGTTTCGAGGCATTCAGTTATGAAAAAGCCCCATATACCATTACCTGTACCAATCTCGCGTCCTCCAAAGGCCAAGCGCAGAAAACGTCGTAGCAGCATGCCAATCTGGCTAGGTCGTTTCTTTTGGACACGATGGTGGAACCGTCCAGGGAGAAAAGACCTGCCAAATGGTTAGTGGACTTGGTCAGCACTAAAGCCCTGGTCAAGGTGCGGCAAGATGCTTGCAAGTCAAAAACTGCGACTGTCCGATTTTGGTAGTGTCTGCTCTGGAAGGGCGATTAAAGATACAGGCACCCAGAGACCGGTGCATGTCGCGCAGTGGCGATGCCATGTCAATAACAGCACTTGTACGTCTGTAGTGGTGGCAGTACGAGTAGCATCTTTGCGCTCAAGCCGGTTGAGAGGCGTCACGCTGAGCAATGCCCAAGCCGCATGTCCCGGTATAGCCAGGCCATCCAGGAATAGAAACTGCTCTACGAAAGTCTTCATGACGCCACTCTAGGCAGATTGACCGTGGGGCCTCCCTTCGTGGGACATGGCAGTATAGAGCAGAGTAGACAAGTCCTGCATAAGTAGGTCGCGATATTAACTTGTATGGGGAGGTACATGCTGCTGTTCAGATACGGCGCGTGAGAGTGGCGTGGAGTCGTCGTCTTCTCGTCTTCAACTTCCATTGGCCTGGGACATGTCAAAGCCTGTTTGTGTGTGGAATATCTGCGCAACATTTGTAATTGACCTCGTGCCGGTGCGTGTCGATATTAAGCCCCGGCTTGGCGTCTTAAGTAGATGATTGCCTGTTTCTCCTTAGCTTTATGATTTCATCCTCTGTCCTTAGTAGCAGTAGTACAGAGTAGCCACCTCTGCACTGCTGACTGCTGCTTTGTTGCAAGCGGCTTCCAAGACGCATGTTGCGCAGTCGCCACAGGCGTAATGAGCTGAGGACATTGTTCATGAGAATTAGCATTTGGTATCCAGCCGCAAAGACACTTTGCAGGTGCAACGCCCAAGAGGTAACGGTAGTGGTATGGAATGCTAATATCCCACGCCCTCCCCCAAGCGACCGTGATCCTATTCTTTGGTATCCATGTTTCGAGCAAAGTGCTTGTCTGTCAAGAGGAACATCGCGGCTTGGTACTCGTACTCGTACGTTGCGAATCGAGCATGTCCACTCTTGTCAATTTCCGTTTCTGTCGTGGCTGCGGAGAACCTCTCGCAGCTTAGTCGCGGTTCGGTCCCTCTCAGAATACCCACATGTACAAAACGGGCCGGACCAGCCGCCTGGACTAGAGATTTTTTTGTCTGCGTGCATGGAACGAGCAAACAAAGCAAGCGGCAATACCGACTCTTCTATCTCGTACCTTGCGTCGTCGAGTTCACGATAGTGTACCATGGAGGTCAGTAGACGGCGTCCAAGATGGCTGCCGCATTTCTTGCTTAGCCCGATGCGCGTATGCCGTTGGGGAGGGGGGAGAGGCCTCCTCTTTTCCTCCACTGCTTCTTTTCCTCATTGTCTGGTTCTCTTCAGCGAAGAACATCGGGTCGACGTTTGAGCTAGCAATCAATGCTGTGGCACTGACGCCGCCCATAGGGGCGAGGCAAGCAAATGTTTTTGGGGGGTTATTAATAGTAAGGCACTTGTAGTTCGTGTCCGAAGCACTGCACACGCTGGGCGTGCGTGTGGCGTTTTCCCAAGTAAAAGGGCGGCGGGCGGATGCCAAGACTTGGACGAGGAAATTGTGGTGTTCCACAAGGTTCATAGTCTCTCATGCTCAGCAGAGCTCTCATGATGAAGTGGCACGAGATGAGGGGCTCGGGCTCACTTCTGCCGCCTCAATTCGGCGCAGATGCGGAGGATAGCAACCCTCTCGTAGCCGCATAAATCCAACTAGTGCCGCTACCTGCCTGCCTTAGTACGTCCAAATGCCACTAAGGCAAAATGACACATTTTTAATTTCCTTTTGAATCGTCCGCAGTAGACACAGAAGAAGGCGGTAAAAAAAATTTCCATTGCCCACTCGAGGGAGATATCGTCAACAGTAGAACCGAGCACGAGTACCCAAATGTAACTTGGTACGCTAAGGCTTTGTCGTATCCGCCGGCGACGAGTGGCCGTGGTGTCCTTTGACTCGCAGAAAGACAGCTTTGCCGGCTGCAGGGCGAGGAGGCTGATGCACGTGGAAACATGGAATGCCACTAAGATCAATGGGCCAACGTTGGCGCCGCCCAGGATTATTGACAGGCAGTCAACCCTCTCCAGATGCGCATGCCTGTTCGCACCAGACTTCGTGAGATCGTCCAAGATCCAGCCTTCTTCCTTCGTTGCGCATCGCATCTGTGGTAGCAGCGGCATATCACTTTCCGATGCGGCAACGAGGGGTCATAAGTGGATAGCCTGTCCGGATTCCCAATATCAGTTAATGGCCGCGCAGCGGAATGTCTCTACCATACTATATCATGACGGAGTATACCCTTTCGTACACTGCATTGGGCGGAGCGGTCAGATGGGGAGAAGCCGGGACAATCTCCCTCAGACACCGGTTTGTCACCGGCGGAAGTCGCAGCGACGCCCACGCTCTTCTCTGATGTTGCAGCTTGGCTTGTCCCTCTGGCGGCTTGCCCGTGCACGGAGGTTGTCATCAATCGCAAAAGCCGCTGCTACCGAATTGGTCCGCTAAGGGCCGACGCGCTTAATGCTCAAGCTCCATGGATTATGCTCGTTCAAGGAGGTCCTTGTGTCGACAAATCTCGGAGTATAAGCGTATGCTTTGTACGTGTACGGAGTAGGAGCTTCGACTCCGTCGTCGTCCCCCATGGCACGGACATCTTTAGAGTTGTCGACACAGGACGGTGCAATACCTACGCGTGCTCGCTGCAGGGATTTGGAGCGGCCAGAGTCTGGCGGATATGCGGCCGAACGGCAGACCGGGATGGACAGAGTCCAGCCATTTGGTCGATGGAGAGGGAAATCCTTGCCCTTGTGGAATCTCAAGCTCGGCTGGCCGGGGCTCCTGGTCGCTGCTGCCTCTCCTAGCGCGGAGAAGATACGAGGGTCCTCTTCGCCCTTTCCCATGCCGCCTGTCGCATGGCCCCCAGTACAGTACACACGGCGCAGTACTTGGTACTTTGCATCTCTCTTCCCGCAACGCTTTGATCAATGTCCAGGATACTCCACATCCCGCGTAAGCTACATGTATCTTTTCTGTGAGGACCCCAAGAGAAGGATCTTGGGCACGCTTCTAGAAACTCGAGATCTCTCTTCATCAAAGACCCTGGATCTCCTAGGCGAGAATACCACTACAGTACCACCTGCTAATGGAGAATTAGTAGGCAAGGTAGAATCAATGCACTACCGCAGTGATACATCAGTACCAACCTGTGAAACCATCGCTCAATTCATCTCAGCATCTGACGCCGCGGCGATCCGCGCTTGGTGGTTAAAGCGACGCTCCAAACCCAGAAAATATGTCAGCGCCAAGACTGCGGTTGAAACGGCGACTTTTGCTTCAGAGGACGGCGTTACCAGTGCAAAACTCGCCATGGCCGTTAGTAATCGCATCGGGCTCTTACTACCTAGTATGCTGGAGAGGGAATGGGCACTTGAGACACCAGTACGAGTATTACGATGTACTCTAGCAGGTACCCTTTCAAGTCGTCGATGCAACTACACGTACGACGTCGGTGAAATCATACTGACAATGCCCGGACATGCCGACTGCAGGCATGTCATTCGCACAACTAAAACAGGAAATAACTATTACTCGAGCCCGCCTTCGGTGTTAAGGGGCAATACCTGGACACGTTCAGCGACTGATATTCCCATGGTTGATTCTGCTTCAGGCTGAATATTCGACTAGCCATCACTGGAGACGCAAGTCCTTTTGCAGGTGGAGAGGCACTGGCAAGCCGATTCGCAAGTTTCGGCCAAATGACCGTTTTGATTGCGGCTCAGTCACGGCGCTACTGTTGTTTTTGCAGCCGGCAATCGTCGATTTCAATTCATCCGGTGGTACTCCGTAGATCTTTTCTGAGGGGTGAGATAATCCAGCTCTGACGCGATATCCAGCTGCGATGGTAGGCCAACTAAAGAATAGGGGCCAATGATACTATGTACTATCTCTTGCGAGGGCGTGGATGAGTACCTAACCGTCTATACCTACTTATCTGGACTCGACGTGTTGAGTAAGGGTTAGCGGTGAGATCTTAGTACCTGTAACGTTTAACTCCTCTGCAAAGAGCAAAGCGTCTGGTTGACGGACTTTTACAATTACACGGAGAATGATGATGGAGACGATGGTGACCTCGATGGAAGCCAAATAGAACATGCTTACTGCCAATCAATAACGCCGGCATATTCTTGCGCAGGCCTTCAGGCAACCATGTCGTCGGCTGCCCTCAATGGCGGTAAGCGCCATATCGACGTCCTTGCACGAGGCTGGAGCACAAGCAGTGGCCATCCTATAACGGCAGATGCTTCTCATCGACGCCGCTTCGGTCGCCCCTGGCTTGGACCAGTGAAGATAGGCGGTTGGTGCGGAGTACCTACTCTGGATGGAATATCGATGGGCCAGTTCATTCCATCTAGGTATCCCTACCGCGTGGTTTGTGCGGAAGCAAGCTCCGAGCATCTCATCCGCGGTACGGAGAGCAGGCTATGGGATCTCCCCGGCCGGCGAATCTGCCTGCGCTTACCCAGAGGTCGACAGGTCATGGCTCTCGTTGCAGCATTTCGTACTCCGTACGTACCTCCATAAACTACAAGAATGGCGACACAGCTAGAAACGATGGGCGAATAGGTAGGACCAAGCGCAGATGGTTTCTTTTGACCTGCGACGGCCAGTGACTGCCTTGGTAACGTAACCTTGAAAACACATCATGCCACTTTTGCATCCCCTTTCCCCTCTCTCTTCGAGATGGATATCTATCTGTACCGGGTAAGTCTGCCTCTGGATTACTGCTCTTCAACACCACATGATTCAGCGTGTCATCCCGGCTCCACACATCGCGAGTTGTACATTACCTACTTGATGCTGTGTTGGTTGATACGTGTACTCGTACTGCTCGCCCGTAGACACGCAAGATACAGGTACATGCGAGTACGAGTACTTGGTGCACCTATTAACGCCTGTTCGCTAAGGCAGGGAGGAGACAAGAAGGGTGCGAGCAGGGATCTTCGGCCGCTGTGGGTGTGCTTCGGTAGAAGATTCGTGGCGACATGGTTTCCGGCAAGGGCTTTCCGGCCCCACGGAAGAGACCAGTCCGCCGGGCCATCTGAACGTGGCTTTGTTCTCTTATTAGGCTTGCACTTGTTTAGTTGAGACAATAGGCGCCCAGTAGCTCTTCTGCGAGGTCACATCAGGACACTCGAATTGTGACAAGCGCTTATTCTTGGATGTCTTTTTTTGGTGTAATGATTGACAAAGTTAGTGCTTGAGCGCTGCCTCTCTAGGACTCGAACTCGAGGTTAGCACTTGTTTGGAGGTTAGCAACACCATTAGCAGGTCACCGGAGCGCCGATTGCTCTACTTACGGGTACATGTACGTAAGTACACGTATGTAAGACGCTCCATGCATGCTGCACCGTTTACCGCTCATTGTACTAAGTATCATCAAGTCGCCGACCATGCGCTGCTCCGTCCAGAGTCTCAAAAGTTCTCTGGAATTGAGCCGAATTGCTTGGCATTGATTGACCTGTGCGGACATTGAGGCACTGCTGCCAACTGCGAGCTACCTTTTTCCGGAGGTGAGCAGTTGATAGAATGGTTGTGAGAATTCGCTGATTGCAGTTTCTTGATTTACATGGCTCTATAGATACTAAGGTACTATTACGTATGTTGTCGCGGCAGTTCACTTTAACGATAACTCGAGGGCACCTGCCTACTCATAGCAAGGAACTGGAGATTAAAGGACATTCAAGATATAGATTCCTTACTAATCTATCTTGCCTCTTCTCCAAGGACATAAGAGTACCAGATTTTAGACAACTTCGGAGACCTTACCAGTTGCTTGGATAATCCGGGGTTAGAAAGACCTTGCGTACCTACCTACTCGTAGTACCTCACTTGGTGGCCGACAGAAGAAGGTCCGAGTAGTACTAATAAGGTACCTATTACTAGGTCTGGTAGATACCTCTTGCTGTGGCGTGTGATAACTGTAACATGGCAAGAGCCCTCGAGGCAATGAGCAACCTTGGAGTGTTACGTGCGCGTACGTGCGAGTTTTTGCAGGTACGGGAGTGCGGAATGCAGTATATCCGAGCGTTATTGCGTTTGCTCTAAGCAGTGTGGGCTCAAATTTTAAACACGAGAAACCTTTAACATGGCGCTACACCACAATGGCTGACTTTTCATCTCACGTCTCGAGCTACTCCACCACGCGATGCCCCATCCTGCCAGGTCTGACGGAGCAGATGTCCCTGCCAAATTCAACCTTCGATTGGCGGACAATCACCATGACGCGGATTTTCTAATACGGCGTAGCACCCGGCCATCGCGTACGAGTACAGTACAGTACCAGTAGCTCAACGAGACGGGTGCGCGACTCCAAGGTTGGCACATGCGTTGTGAATGATTTGAAGTTGCTGAGAGCGAGCTTCTGTACTGACGAGTACACGAGACACAGCCCTGAGTGAGTGGCCAGAGGCATTGCCCGGAGATATTGGGTCTACTTAGCCCCGGTGATTCATACTGACGGGCAACAGGCACAATACAACGCCGCATACCTCTTCGAAGACGGCCGCTGTTAGAATCAGTGTCTCTTGTGTGCCTCTACTCATACAGGTCAGCACTCCTGGCGCTCATACAGACAAGCCCTGTGCGGAATTGGTACTCCGTACGAGGACATAGCAAGTCTTTCACCGTTTTGTCGCCTAGCCATACTTCTACTAGGCAGGACTGTTTGCATGCCCATACTCCGTACAATCCTCCGTATCAAGTGCCGATTCTTTGGCCAAGCAGAGAGTGGCTTTGTTACTGGCTAATAAGAGCTATCACAAGTAGTGGATACTCCGAGGCATGGATGAAGATTGGCCGATCGCCGTTGTTGAGATGTAACATGATGTCGGTCAAGGGAACTCAGCATTACCAAAGCAACAAGAGTCGTCACAAGACCGGAGGCTCTTTCATCGTGTTGCAGAAACGGCCCCCAAAAGAAACAGCCCCATCCCGCAAGTTCGCCGTCTGCACGGCTTATTGTGGTCACCCCCCCCCCCCCCCCCCCCCCTTCCCTTTCCCTCTTCTTCGTCTCGTCTTCAGTGCATGACGGTGCATGTGTACTACTGGTACATGCGCATGTACCAGTACTCTGTCAGGTACTTCATACCTATCTACACGCGAGAATTGTCGCCTAGCTCGCGAGTCTCATCCTCCTCGCACTTTGGATGCTACTGAATCTACTAGCTGCATGCGGGAGATGGGAGCTAGGAGGGCTTTCCGGCTCTCCGGTCACTGCCTGCAGAAGAGGACGACAGGCCTTCTCATTGGAAGCGATGTACACGATTAAACAGGCAAGAGTTGCAGGCCGATTGAACTCCGTGCTCACACCAGGTACGAGTACATTGTTCCAGCGGTTAGAACCACCTGGCAGTCATCATCTCGCGCGCGGTACTCGTAATAGCTACCGGCCTCGCTGCTATTTTCCCGCTCCCAACTGCCACGCGCTTCATGTCATCCAAACCTGCGTTACCTCGCATATGGCGGTCAGACCTTCTTCACTGTCTCCTAGCTCTTGGTGCATGGATATTCCTCTGACCACACAAGCAGCTTTCTTTGGCTCTGCCGAGGCTCGTGGAGTCGGGCATTATGCCAAGATTCGCTGTGCGTTGCAATGGAACGTCTTGCTTGCTGTTCTTCAACCTCGGAGTATTCTCCAAATGGCAGTGTTATTCTGTACCATGTGGTTCGTACTTGCAGATGAGGTTGCTTGGCTTGAGCGGATTCCAGCCGAGCTGGGAGGTCAATATGCATACCCATGTACATGCTCCTCCAAGCATGCTCCTGAAGCGATTGGCCGTGGGGGTGCCCAACTCAAAGCTTCCGGATATCTCCATATACATACTCGGTGCTCAACGACAGG